ACCGATCCCGCCGTAATTGTGGAGCTAGAGCCGCATTGTGTCCCTTGCTTCGGTACAACCTTTGGAGACCTTTCATAGCTCTAGCCTTGTTTGGGAGCTGAAGGAAGGAGTTTGGGAATGTTTGGCTGTGTGTAACAAATAATTCATTGGTGATGCTGTCTGGCCGGAGTCTATAAAGATAAGGTATATTTCAGAACGTTGCAACTCTTGTGGAGGGCTTTAGGTAACGTGAAATGCTGGTAGTGGTCTCTGACTTGGAATTCGTGGAGTCTTCTCCCACAGTTCCGACCTTTATGATTGCCTTTAGATTTTATCAGTACTTGGTTTCCCGGAGAACTCGAGTAAATCTAGAAATTGCCGCGTTTCATAATTATCTATTCCTTTAACGTACAGACGAAGGGAACGTCATCGTTTGGAAAGCGTCGCAATAAGACGCACACATTGTGCCGCCGCTGTGGCTCTAAGGCCTACCACCTTCAGAAGTCGACCTGTGGCAAATGTGGCTACCCTGCCAAGCGCAAGAGAAAGTGTAAGTAACATTTTTCAGACCAACTGTGTTAGCTTTTGTTTGTATTGCACTTAAGTGGGGGCATAGGTTTGAACTTTATTTGGTGCCTATCTTAAAACTTGTACATCTGTATGCCGATGAGGTGGCATAAAACTCGTGTGTTAACAATACCTACAAGGTGTGTGGGGGAAAACCGTTTGAAATCTTTTCTGAACTTTGTTTTAGATAACTGGAGTGCTAAGGCTAAAAGACGAAATACCACCGGAACTGGTCGAATGAGGCACCTAAAAATTGTATACCGCAGATTCAGGTACCTTTTGTATGTTCGATCATAATTGGTCCTATGGGCTTGAATGAAACCCTCGTGTTTACTTGTAAAAATAACACTACCCTCATGGTTACTGGGGATGAGTTGTTGGAAGCATTTTTATTTTTGGTGGTTGTTGAGACAGGGCTTCACTATGTTGCCCAAGCTTGAGTGCAGTGGCACGATCACGGCTCACTGCAGCCTCAGTCTCCCCAGCCTCAGGTGATCTCACCTCAGCCGCCCGAGTACCCGGGACTACAGGTGTGCGCTGCCACATGCCCAGATAATTTTTAATTAGTATTTATTGTAGAGAATGGGATTTTGCCATGACCTAGGCTGATCTCAGAACTCCTGGGCTGAAGCCATGGGCCTACCCAAAGTGCTGGGATTACAGGCGGGAGCTACCGCCGCAGGCCAGATGTTGAAAACTTTTATCTTCTGCCACTGTAACCTTAAGATCAGTTACTTTGGATTTTATTAGTTTTTTCACTAAACAATAGTATAAATTAAGTTTCAGGAGCATTTTTTGAGCCAGGGTCCCGAAGAGTTGATATTTATTATGTTTATCTTTAATTGGTGTCAAAATTTGTCAAGACAGTAGTGAATAAGATCTGAGAGTCAGGCTTTGTTCAATCTTCAGTATAGTGGCTGTGGGCAAGAGTGCTATAGAAGACAGCCCTGATTGTTGCTGTTGCCTTAAGGACAGCCATAGATGTGTTCATGTGCTGAAGCAACTTTCTTTGCACTTAGAGTCATACGTTTTTGTGGGCTTAATGTTGAATGGGCTGTTAGTACGATATAGGAGTTAGGAGCTTGAACTGAAGCCAGGCTTTTAAAAGTAGGATAGTTGACCTCTCTTAGAGTAGATATGGATGTTTAGTAAGTTAAAATGCAAAGCTCTTGGTTTAGAAAATGTCTGCCATTAAACATGCTCATTGTTTTTTCCTTGCTTAGTCAAAGCGGTTGTGATCTATTCTCAGCATAGGGAACCATTTTCACAAATAATCTTTGATCTCTTGCCAAGTAAGAACAAACATACTGGCCCTTGACTAGTATAGCCAAATAAGTGTTTGAGCCTTAATTGCAATTGCGATTAACTATATCTGAAAATGGGTATCTTTAAGCAAAGTGAAGAATTGCAGCTTATCAGTGATGTTGTAAAAATAAATGTCTGAACATATGAATGCAGTACTGATTTCAGCATTTAACTGAGATAAGCGCATTGAAATCTGTTTAACAAAAATTAAAATTGATTCATCGATGTTGCTGAAGTAACTTGTTCTTGTTTTTGACATCGTGCAGGCATGGATTCCGTGAAGGAACAACACCTAAACCCAAGAGGGCAGCTGTTGCAGCATCTAGTTCATCTTAAGAATGTCAACGATTAGTCATGCAATAAATGCTCTGGTTTTTAAAAATACATATCTGGTGTGTGCTGAGGTATTTTTAATCAGTTAGACTTGTAGTATCAGTGAAATAATGTAGGTTTAAGGACTGGGCTAGCTTAATATCAGATTTACTTGTTAAGTGACTGTTTTGGAATGTTTCCTTTGGACTGGGGTTGTAACGCGGTTTAAGGCAATGACTAACAAGCAGAATTCCAGGAGTCCTTGAAGCAGAGGGCACTGGAAGACAATACAGCAGATTAAAATAGCACAGCTCATGTGGCATAGATGGGTATTTAAGACATTCGAGTAAATTGGAAAGAGCATGATGTTTAAATTACCTTTAGTAGCATGTTCGTTTGCTATACTGTCATGACTTTAGGGGGATGATTATTAGTCACATAGAGCCTCGGAGTACCACTGGAAACATACAGGTAGGAGTTTAGGTGGCTTCTGTTTTTCAAAAGATGATCTAATCCTAGTATCTATAATGCTCACTTGGCACACCTGGCTGGTGGGCTGTGTAAGGTGACTAGCTAAGTGAAAAAAGCCTGCTAGGTGTGACTCAGGAATAAGTAGGTTTGAGAAAAGGTAGGGCTGGGTACAAGTAAAGATTGAGCAGGAAATAAAGGAAAATCAAGTAAAAACCCTGAGATTTGTAGACTAAAGGCAATGATGTGGGACTACTTGGTCGAATTTTTTTAGCCCTCAAATTAACTTGGGTGTTTCTGTGCTGAAGGAAGCGCTGAAACTTGCTGTCATGCCTTCACAGTTTTGGTGGATTATTGACAGGGTTGGGGTTTTTTTAAGAAATGAAGGGACAAAGTCAACCAACTGCTGAGTGAGACGGCAGGGGCAATTGAAGGGAACATGAATACTAGAACATCTGAGATTCTTAACCTGGCCTTGGAAGGGTATCCGTTTTACGTGTAACCTGGAATGGCTTTATAATGTGCTACCTAATTGTTACTCTCATCCTGTGTTTTAACTCCTAATTTACCCTTCAGGTCTCAGCTTCTGAACATTCACTGGTAAAGAAACCCTGCTGATTAAATCTCTCTTGGGCTTCTTCCCGTAATGTGAGACTATACTTTAAAGATGCACGGTTAGGGCTGGGCACAATGGCTCACGCCTGTAATCCCAGCACTTTGGGAGGCCGAGGGGGGTGGATCATGAGGTCAGGAGATCGAGACCATCCTGGCTAACACGGTGAAACCCCGTCTCTACTAAAAATACAAAAAATTAGCTGGGTGTGGTGGCAGGCGCTTGTAGTCCCAGCTACTCGGAAGGCTGAGGCAGGAGAATGGCGTGAACCCGGGAGGCGGAGCTTGCAGTGAGCCGTGATTGTGCCACTGCACTCCAGCCTGGGCAACAGAGCGAGACTCTCGAGAAAAAACAAAAAAAAGATGTATGGTTAGAGTCCAGTTGCCATTGCCTTTGTTATTTAGAGATAGTGCAATGGTACAATCCCAGCTCACTGCAGCCTCTTAATTCCTGGGCTCAAGTCAAGTGGTTCTCCTGCCTCAGCCTTCTGAGTAGCTGGGACTACAGATGCACACCACCATACCTGGCTAATTTTTGTGTTTTTTGTAGAGATGGAGTTTCACTCGGCTAATTCTTTTTGTGTTCTTAGTTGAGACTGGGTTTCAACATGTTGACCAGACTGGTCTCAAACTTGACTTCGTGATCCGCCAGCCTCGGCCTCCCGAAGTCCTGGGATTACAGGCGTGAGCCACTACGCCTGGCTGTCGTCACCAAACTTTAAAGTGAAGGTAGTCTATTGAAGATAGACTGGACTTTCAGTCTGGTGAAATTACCTTCACTCTTGTTGCCCAGGCTGTGAAAGTACCTTGACCCCCATGTAAACAACCCTTGAGGCCAGGTGTCGTGGCTCACAGCTGTAATCCTGGCACTTTGGGAGGCCGAGGTGGGCGGGTCACGAGGTCAAGAGATCGAGACCACCCTGGCCCACATGGTGAGACCCCATCTCTACCAAAAATACAAAATTTAGCTGGGTGTGGTATGTGCCTTAGTCTCAGCTACTTGGGAGGCTGAGGCAGGAGAATCGCTGCCAAATTTTCAAATGAAACAAAATAAGCAGTGGATTTTGCATTGGAGATGGAGTTAAAACTGTTGCCCAGGCTGGTCTTGGACTCCTGGGTTCAAGTGATCCTTTCATCTTGGCCTCCCAAAGTGCTGGGATTACTGGGACGAGCCACCACACCCCACCTGTTGTCAATATTTGTCTTTAACAGCACTTAGTCCTGCGTTAAGTTATAGTTATGTATAAACACCCATTATACTTTAAATTTTTCAGCAGAAATTATGCTTTTTTCTGCAGTGTTGTGTTTCGGTGTGCAAAAATTAAATTTAATGTTAAATTTAAATAAATAAATTTATTTTTCCTAAGTACCCCATGTGCTTTTCAACTCTGTCCTCTGCCTGAAAAGCCTCCCTCCAGCCCCTACTTCCCTCCCATCTCAGTTCACAAAGTCAGGTTGATTTGCCCCCGACTGTCAAATAAAGCAGACTACCTGTTTACACATGTAACTGGTTATGTTCTGTAAAGTTACAAAATTAGAAAGGCTAATAGGTTGAATCTGTGGTGTGCGGTAGTTCACGCCTGTAATCCCAGCACTTTGGGAGGCCAAGGTGGGCGGATCACCTGAGGTCAGGAGTTCAAGACCAGCCTGACCAACATGGAGAAACCTGTCTCTACTAAAAATACAAAAAATTAGCCGGGCGTGGTAGTGCATGCCGTAATCCCAGCTGCTCGGGAGGCTGAGGCAGGAGAATGGCTTGAACCTGGGACGTGGAGTTTGCAGTGAGCCAAGATCACGCCATTGCACTTAAGCCTGGGCAACAAAAGCGAAACTCTGCCTCAAAAAAATAAATAAATAAATAGAAAGGTTGAGTCTGTGGCATTGAAAACCTTTGGGAACCATACCTTAATTGTAACTCCCACAGTAACTGCCCTGCACTTAATAAAAAGTAGTAACGGGCAGATTCATTCAGTAAACTATTGAGCCAAAGTTGAAAGTACAATTTCTTCAGAGGCCTCACCTCTAATTGAGACACAGATAATTACATATTGTTCATACACACACACACACACACACACACACTATGATGGATAAATGCACCAGTTGCTGTGAGAGCATTGGAAAGGAGTTTGTCACTTAATAGGTGAAGCCAGGCTAAGATTTAAGCTGAACCAGGGAAGACTTGAAGAAATCGTGATGAGAGAGGAGGTAAGTGGCTTTGCCAGCAATGAAACAGCTGACATAAGGGTAACCAGTCAGAGGAGGGCATAGCTATGAAACTGCAGACACCCTGGTTGTCAGATTAGAAGAAGGTGGATGTAGGGTTGGTAAGAAAAGAATTGAGGGAAAAGCAGCAATCAGATTATGAAGCATTTGTCTTGACAAATTATGGAGGATTTAAAGCAGAATGTTAGGAATAGTTGTTTAGCAAGATGAATGTGGAAAGTGTTAGTGTGCATGTGATGAGTCTTGAAGCTGCAAACTAGGTAACAGGTTCTTAAATAGTTCATGTGAAAATCATGACTCAGACTAAGGCAGTGGCTGTGGGGCTGTTGGGGAGTTCTCTCCTCTAAAACTTGAATGCAAGTGAGTAGCTAACTTCCAAGCTCCTCTTTCTGTATGATTTTCTGCATCTCATAAGGTGTGTGAGGATTACATGAGATCATATATGTAACAACAGCATTGTGTCTAATACAGCAAGCCTCAAAAATAACAGGGAGACAGGTGTTTTGGGATGCCTTAGGTTTCTGGACAAAAGCAAGGGAGGAGGTGGTTGCTCCATTGAGATGATAGGATGATAAGGAATATAGAAAAGAGGTAATAAGGGGAAAATAGTAAAGTTGGGTTTTATTGACATGCCTGTGGGGACACCAGGAGGGAGGGAAGTGTTTAGGAAGCAGTTGAGTTGGAAAGTCAGGACTGGATATCTACATTTGGAAGTAACAATTGTGAATGGAAACTGATTTTAAGAGTTAGAATGGTAAAAATATAAGCATGGAAATGAGGTAATAATGAGATTTGATAGGCATTTAGACATCAGAGTAAGCAAGAGAACTTGAGTTCATCAATGAACTTCAGTAACTATCCTTGATTTAGTATTGATGGAAACCATTTGTAAATTTACAGACTCCAAAAACAAAAGATAATTTAGAGGCTCAAAGTAAGATGTGGGGAGTTGTCCATTGGAGACAGAAGTAGAGAGAGGGAGAAGTTCATTTGTTCACATATGTATGTGTGGTGCACCTACTGTGTGCCAAGCCATGTTAGAGAGACAGTGGGAGCAAAACCAGATGTGGTTCCTGCCCTCTTAAAGTTGACAGTTGACTTAAGTGGTTGCAGAATTAGCTCGGGGAACTAGAATTGGACGTAGTCACACAAACCAAGAAAGGAGATTGTTTGAGAGGGGCAATCGGTCACATGTGGCTGAGGCCAAAGAGAATGAAGATATATTTTAAAATTCTGGATTTGGCAAAATTTAGGCTAGTGTTTACTTTTCATAAACCTCTCTCATGTTAGAGCATCAAAGAAAAACCAGTTTGCCAAGAGGTCGGGAGACTGGGCAGTGAGGAATGGGGAGCTTAGTTTAAAGACAACACTAGACACTCGGAAGTTTACCTATTCTGTGGTTCCCTTTTATTTTTACTGACTAAATGGTGCCCTTCATTCATGAAGCAAATACCTATTTAGTGACCACTATGTGTCAAAAGCTATTCTATGCCCAGAAACTTTTAAGTGGAAAACAAGACAAAGACCCTGCTCTGACATTTCAATCATGTATGCATGTACTATATGTATGTATGTGGAAGGTGACATAATAGGCAGTTACAGATAGTGATAAGTGTGTAAAGACAAGGATACCATGAGCATAATAGACAGTGGGGATGGAGGAACCTTTAGAAAGGTGGTTAAGAAAGCTGAATGATAAGGAGCCATTCTTTTGTCTTTACCTGATTGACTTATTCAGCCCTTTTTGAGTTTTGGGTTGCTTGCAGAGTTTAACCTTGCCTGTAATTGAAACTTTCCTTTATAATGGCATAACTTCATGTAACAAAAGGAAACTAATATATTACAGAATTATTTTACTGAAGAATTTGTTTCAGAGAAAGAGGCTATTTCACATTTGGATTATATTTAGGTGTTTGTTTGTTTGTTTTTTTAACGAAGAAGTTGGATCATAATACAAGAGAAGCACAGGGTGAAGACTATGAATAACCTCAGGAACTAAGAATGGAAAGACTGGCCAGGCGTGGTGGTGCATGCCTATAATCCCAGCTACTCAGGAGGCTGAGGCAAGAGAATCACTTGAGCCTAGAGGGGCAGAGATTGCAGTGAGCTGAGATAATGCCATTGCACTCCAGCCTGGGCAAGAGAGCAAGACTCCATCTCAAAAAAAAAAAAAGGAAGGACTTAAGCAAAATCTTCCTTGTAAGAAGAAGGATGTTTTGACAAGAAAAGTTGCAATGAAAAAATGGTTCTCATGTACATGAGTATGTAGAATAAGCATCATGTGTGGATTGGATTGAGATTAAAAGATTGCTTTTACTTTTGTGTCTTTATATGGTGGGAGTATACTCTGGTGCCCTAGGATGAAGACTTGACCTGACCCATACATTTTTAGATTACTCACAGATAACAGAAAATATCTTCATCATGATTGGTTGCGAAAACAGTTTTATTTCAATAAGTAATATGTGCAGTCCTATGTAATCATCAGAACATAATCTTAACTCACTTCTTCCAGCTCGGGCCTGCTTTAAACCGCAAGCTGGCAGTGGAGAGGGCATGATGCCTCTGATTTCAGCTTTCTCCTTACACTTTTCTGGAACTGTGAACTGCAAGTTAACTCCTCGGTGGGATTAAAGTGTAGACTGGAGGTACGAAAGGTGAGGAGTGAGGAGATGGGGTGGTTCTTCCTTGGCTGGCTGGCTTCATAATCCCTGGACCCTGCAGATAATTAAACCGACTTTTTCTCTCTCAGGCATTTGTATGACCTCTTTGGAGGTTCTCTGCTGGGTTACCTCTCCTGTAGTTCCCTGGTATATAATGGACCCATCTCAATTTAAAATAGTCTTCTGCCAGGTTCGGAGGCTCCTACCTGTCATCCCAGCACTTGGGGAGGCTCAGAGGTGCCATTCGCTTGAGCCCAAGAGTTTGAGACCAGCCTGGGCAACCTGGTGAAACCTCTTCTCTATTAAAAATACAGAAAAGTTAGCCGGGCATGCTGGTGTGTGCCTGTAGTCCCAGCTACTCAGGGGGCTGAGGTGGAAGGATCACTTGAGTCTGGGAGGTCAAGGCTACAGTGAGCCTTGATTGTGCCACTGCACTCCAGCCTGGGTGACAAAGAGAGTCCCTGTCTCAAAAAAAAAAAAAAAAAGTCTGTAATTATTTCCTAGCCCCTAGTATCCAGCCTCTGTCCTGAGGTTTTCTTTACTTCTTGAGGCTATTTAATGCTGACTCTGTCCTGAGTGTCACACATCTGGTCCTCAGGAAACATTCCCACATCCCTGGCCTGAAAAAATAAACAAGTTCAGGGAGATCGCATGGCAGCAGCCCTGTCTGGGCTCCCCAACTAAATGGTTGTAGAAAACACATTTCAAAGTTCTCTGAAGGGTTTCCTTGAAGTTCACTGGGTTTCAAAGTAGAAGGTAGTAACTCCTTTGTCCAAGAAGGCTGATTTGAGCACTTATAATTCTCTTCAAAGAAATTTCTTCATTGTTCTCTATCCTGGACCCCTTCTATATCCTTGATATGGCTGAGGATTCTAAAAACTGACCAGTCTTACATGTGAGGGCTGGGATATAAAAAAAATTTTTTAAATGATAAAAACTGAAAACTGTGACCACGTTCTTGGATATATTTTCTTTGGGGTATATGTGTGTGAGAGTGTGTGTGACTATTTTGGTAGTTTCCCAAAGTAGGAAGAATCCCATTCTAATGGTGTTACATTTATGTAGCTCTGCAAATAAACATCTAGCAAATGTAAAAAGTATTTTCTTTGCCTTAAAAAATGATTAAAAATATTTGAGCTCCTGAGGAGTGCTATATGAATACAATCAGTAAGTTATTTGGAGGAAAGTTACTTTTTAAAAAGACAACTGGTAAAACAGGGTACAGGAGAAAGGCCAGCTTCCTCAAGTGAGGACAATTGTTAGAAGTGACTGAGGAGTGTTTTGAGCGCAGTGGCTCACACCTGTAATCCCACACACTGTGGGAGTCTGAGGTGGGTAGATCACCTGAGGTCAGGAGTTTGAGACCAGCCTGGACAACATGCGAAACCCCGTCTCTACTAAAAATATAAAAATTAGCCAGGTGCAGTGGCACACATCTGTAATCCCAGCTACTTGGGAGGCTGAGGCAGGAGAATTGCTTGAGCCCAGGAGGCAGAGGTTGCAGTGAGCCGAGATTCTGTCACTGCACTCCAGCCTGGGCGACAGAGCAAGACTCTGTCTCTCAAAAAAAAAAAAAAAAAACCCCCCAAAAAAAACAAAAAAAACAAAAAAACGAAGTGACTAAGGAGGAAGAGGCCGGGTGGCAAATGGAAAAGAATCACCATGGGTGAACAGGACTAAGGCAATGTAGTATATGGTTCAGCTACCTCAGAGTGGAAAAGGTGTAATTAGAGCAGAAACTATGGTCCCTGTGTCACAGGGAAGCAAACTACAGAGAAGCAGCAGTTCCCCAAGGGAGGAGCGATGGGAAGCAAGAAGCCTCAGAGAGAACAATTGTCCTATTAGGATTGCTCTAGAGAGAAACCTCTGGGAACATACCCCTGTGAGGCAGCACAGCACAATGCTTTTAGAATCGTACGAGAGTTGATATACACCATTTATTTTGGAAAGGAAAAAACTAAGATACAGATTATTTGTTAAAAGGATATATTTCTTTGGTAATAAAGATGGTGACAGTGTTGCTGGAATGCATTCCTTTAATAAAGATATTGTACAATGAAATATTATTTTGCAGCAAATTTGTCTTAAATAGAATCCATACTTAGGATATGGCCTAGATCTGGAATCACAATGCTAATTATAAGCCATAAAGTACAGAGATCTAAGACACCATTAATACATATAATAATTTTAGCATTGGGCCAGGCGCGGTGGCTCACGCCTGTAATCCCAGCACTTTGGGAGGCTGAGGCAGGCAGATCATGAGGTCAGGAGTTCGAGACCACCCTGGTCAATATGTTGAAACCCTGTCTCTACTAAAAAATACAAAAATTAGCTGGGCTTGGTGGCGCGCCCCATAGTCCCATCTATTCAGGAGGCTGAGGCAGGAGAACTGCTTGAACCTGGGAGGCGGAGGTTGCAGTGAGCCGAGATCTTGCCACTGCACTCCAGCCTGTGCGACAGAGTGAGATTCTGTCTCAATAATAATAATAATTTTAGCATTGGGTTAGCTCATCTAAAAGGTAATAGCAAGCCATTTTCTAATAACTGTGATTAGATCAAATCTGCCCTTTTCTGATCCCCCCACTACCACAGGAAAGGTTCTAGAAGAGCACATATTGTGGAGTAAAATCCTCAAGTTTTGACATTTTTGAACAGTTAAAATTTGAATAGATTTCATATTTGTCAGAGAGACAACTCTTGGGGTCCGAATAGATGAACTACCTGGAGATTTAAGGATAGTATCACATTCTGCCTTCTGGCATTTTTCAATGTCTTGAGTGCAGACCAGTGTTGAAAATCTGTCGATGCAAGCATAGACAGGCACTGGATGTATGTAGTGAACTACCATGCGTTAGTCCAATAACCAAGATTTTCTTATTTCTTTGCAATAGGTAAACCTTGGGCCAGCCATGGTAGCTCACGCCTATAGTCCCAGCACTTTGAGAGGCCAAGGCAGGCAGATTGCCTGAGCTCAGGAGTTTGAGACCAGCCAGGACAACATGCTGAAACCCCATCTCTACTAAAAATACAAAATATTAGCTGGGTGTGGAGGCAAGCAGCTGTAATCCCAGCTACTCGGGAGACTGAGGCATGAGAATTGCTTGAACCCAGGAGGCGGAGGTTGCAGTGAAATGAGATCGCGCCACTGCACTCTAGCCTGGGTGACAGAGCAAAACTCTGTCTCAAAAAACAAACAAACAAAAAACCAACAACAAAAAACACCTTAGTTATTGGACTAAAACACGGTAATTTACTACATACATATAAATAACATGTAGTGTATAAAAATTTAAACATTTCTCTGGTCAGCAGCAGAATGTAAAATAAAAAACATTTAAACATCTAATAAAAACAGCGTATCAGAGTTCAGTGACAAGAAAAAAACAACACAGTAACTTGAACATGAAAAGTTTAAGGGATTCAGGTAATGAGGGACTGGGTATTAAAAGTTAAAGAAAACTCTATAGAATAAAGAGAAAGCAGAAATGGAGTAGCCACTGCCCCTGGAGCTGAGATAGAGCACCCAAAGAAGAGTCTTCCTCATCCCCAGAGCTGAGATCTAGATGTCAGGAAAAGTGCAACATAGCTCACTAGATGATGTGTCTTGCCCCTGGGACATTCTGGAAAACCACCAGAAGGAGCACCAGTGGCACCAAGGAGCTGCCTTGTCAACAGCATTCTGCTGTGAAGCTGCTCAAAAAGGTTCTTTGGGAAGCTTGTAGTCACGAGGTGCCTCTGGTCAGTGCACATGGCAGGAGCCTAACGCCGGAGAAGCCACCCACATTGTAGAAGCCTAGCCCTGGAGGAATGAGAGGAATGGCAGGCCCCTTTCTGACGTTTACCAATTTTTTTTTTTTTTTTTGAGATGGAGTTTTGCTCTTGTTGCCCAGGCAAGAGTGCAATGGCATGATCTCGGCTCACCCTGCAACCTCTGCCTCCCAGGTTCAAGCGATTCTCCTGCCTCAGCCTCCCGAGTAGCGAGAATTACAAGCATACACCATCACGCCCGGCTAATTTTGTATTTTTAGTAGAGATGGGGTTTCTCCATGTTGGTCAGGCTGGTCTCGAACTCCCGACTTCAGGTGATCCGCCCGCCTCGGCCTCCCAAAGTGCTGGGATTACAGGTGTGAGTCATTGCGCCTGGTCCCAAATATCATTTTAATACAGCTTAGAGCTTGCTATGGTTTGTATGTTTGTGTTCCTTTGTCTTAGTCTGTTTTTTGCTGCTATAACAGAATACCTGAGACTGGGTACTTTACAAAGAACAGGAATTTATACTGTTACAGTTTTAGAGACTGGAAGTCTAAGATCAAGGTGCAGGCAGCTGGTGTGGACCTTCTTACTGCATCTTCATATGGCAGAAGAAAGAAGGGCAAGAGAGACAAAAGGAGGCTGAATTCACCCTTATTAATTCCACTCATGAGGGCAAGATCACCTCTTCTTTTTTGGTTTGTTTTTGAGATGGAGTCTCGCTCTGTCACTGAGGCTGGAGTGTAGTGGTGTCATCTTGGCTCACTGCAATCTCCACCTCCCTAGTTCAAACAATTCTCCTGGCTCAGCCTCCCAAGTAGCTGGTACTACAGCACATGCCACCACACCCAGCAAATTTTTTTTTTTTTTTTTTTGCAGAGATGGGGTTTCACCATGTTGGTCAGGCTAGTCTCGAACTCCTGACCTCAAGTTATCCACCCACCTTAGTCTCCCAAAGTGCTGGGATTCCAAGTGTGAGCCACCTTGCCCAGCCAGGATCACCTCTTAAAGGTCCCACTTAACACCATTATAATGACAATTAAATTTCAACTTACATTTTGATGGGGATAAATATTCTAACAATAGCTCACTCCAAAATTCAAGTGGAAACTTAATGTCCCATTATTCTAGCATTGAGGGGTGGAGCCTTTAGGAGGTAGTGAGGTCATGAGGGCTGTCCCCATGAATGTAAACAAGGACTTTATAAAACAGGCTTCACACCCAGTGTGGCCCTGTTTGCCCTAAGCCTTCCATCACATAAGGAAATAGCATTTGTCCGCTTTTGTCTTTCTATCGCTTCCACCATGTGAAGACACAGCATTTGTAATGATGCAGCATTCAAGGCACCATCCTGGAAGCAGAAATGGCCCTCACTAGACACTGAATCTGCCTATGCCTTGAGCTTGGACTTCCCAGCCTCCAGAACTGTGAGAAATACATTTCTTTTGTATATAATTGAAATAGCTTGAATATATATATGAATATATAGTATCATTTGAATATATGTCTCCACCAAATTTCATGTTCAACAGTAATCCCCAATGGTGGAAGTGGGCCTGGGTGGGAGGTATTTGGGTCATAAGGGGTGGATCCCTCATGGCTTGGTACCATCCTCTAGATAGTGAATTCTCATGAAATCTGGTCGTTTGAAAGCATGTGGCACCTCCATCACTCTCGCGTGCTCCTGTCCTACCATGTAAGATGCCTGCTCCCGCTTTGGTTTCCACCATGAGTAAAAGCTCCTTGAGGCCTCCCCAGAAGCCAAGCAGATGTCGTTGCCATGTTTCCTGTACAGCCTGCAGAACTATGAGCTAATGAAGCCTCTTTTCTTTATAAATTACCCAATCTCAGGTATTTATTTATAGAAATGCAAGCATAGCCTAACAGAACAGTCTACCCAGTTTATGGTATTTTGTTACAGCAGCCCAAACAGACTGAGAATAGTTTTACAACTTGCCTCAGTGGTTAATCAGCAAAGTGATTAATTCACTCCCAATCAAAACTTGTTTGAACATTGGTTTGCTAATGATCAAAAATAATTGTCAAACAGGCAGACTATCCGTGATGACGTGACACACACTTTCTCATTTGTTTCGTTAAGGAAGTACCTTTCTATAGCTTGCATGAACTGATCAAAGAGGCAAGAAAGTAGGGAATCTTTAACATAGAGCTAGCAGCTAAGGCATACTATTTAAGATCAGACATAGTGCCTTAGAACACAGCCACCCACAACTTGGTTGATTACATGATACAGGTGATGCAAGTGGGCCTGGACCTGAAACTAGACCTAATAACTAGGAGGAAATTTTGGGAAACATTGGACCAGCATTCCCAACTCTAAACATGTGCACTATCACAAAGACACAATGTTTTACCCATGGAAATGTGTTGCTGTATTATTTATAATACAAGAAAGTAGAGCAACTGTGCTGGGATTACAGGATGTGGTGGCTCATGCCTATAATCCCAGCACTATGGGAGGCCAAGGTGGACAGATTGCTTGAACCCAGAAGTTCAAGACCAGCCTGAACATGATGAAACCCCATCTCCACAAAAAATACAAAATTTAGCCAGGCATCATAGCACATACCTGCAGCCCCAGCTACCAGGGAGGCTGAGGTGAGAGGATTGCTTGAGCCCAGGAGGTTGAGGCTGCAGCCATGAGCATGCCACTGCACTCCAACCTGGGTGACAGAGTGAGATTCTGTCTCAAAAAAAAAAAAAAAAAAAAAAAAAAAGAAAGAAAAAGAAAGTAGAAAAGTAGAAACAACTGGCAGGGTGTAGCTCATGCCTGTAATCCCAGAACTTTGGGAGGCTGAGGTGGGTAGATCACTAGAAGACCAGCCTACCCAACATGGTGAAAACCCACATCTCTACTAAAAATACAACAAATTAGCTGGGCATGTTAGCAGGCACCTGTAATCCCAGCTACTTGGGAGGCTGAAGCAGGACAATTGCTTGAACCCAGGAGGCAGAGCTGCAGTGAGCTGAGATCGCACCTCCATTGCACTCCAGCCTGGGCAACAAAAGTGAAAACTGAAGGCCAGGCACGGTGGCTCACACTTGTAATCCTAGCACTTTGGGAGGCTGAGGTGGGTGGATAACCTGAGGTCAGGAGTCCAGACTGGCCAATGTGGTGAAACTCCCTCTCTACTAAAAACACCCAAAATTAGCTGGCCGTAGTGGTGGGCACCTGTAATCTCAGCTACTCAGGAGGCTGAGACAGGAGAATCGCTTGAACCCAGGAGGTGGAGGTTGCAGTGAGCCAAGATCATACCATTGCACTCCAGCCTGGGCAACAAGAGCAAAACTCCATCTCAAAAAAAAAGAAAAAAGAAAAAAACAAAAAGAAAAGCAGAAACAACTAAATCCCCTAACTAGAGGTTGAGGTTGAGTTAAATAAATTATGGCACATATTAATGAACTAGTAAAACAGCTCTTCAAACAAACAAACAAACAAATAAAAACAACCAAGGCTTTACTATAAAGCTTCAGTAGTCAAGATAGTGAGTATTGGTATAATAATAGATAAATAGATCAGTGAAACATAATAGAGTCCAAATATAGGCTCACACATATATGGTCATTGATTTTTGACAAAGATGCCAAGGTAATTCAATCAAGAAAGAATAATTTTTCAACAAATGGTGCTGGAAGAACTAGACATCCATATGCAAAGATAAAATAAAAATAGAGTCTCTGTTCTGAGACTTAGCAGAGTTAAATAAATAAATAAGTAGAATCTCTGAATGGAACTGCAGGTGAACAGGAAGAACGCTTTTAATAAAATTAAAAGACTCTCAAACCTTGACTTGTACCACTAAGTCAGGATGGATCAATGATATAAATGTAAAATCTAAAATTCTAAAAACTTATGAGAAAAACAGGAGAAAATCTTTGTGACTTTGGGTTAGCCAAATATTTCTTAGATATGACATAAAAAGCACTATCTATTTTTTTAAGTGATACATTGGGCTTTATCAAAACTAAACCCTCTGTTTTTCAAAAGACACAAGAAAATAAAAGACAGGTTTGGAGAAAATATATAAATACATATATTTATATACATATATGTATTGAACATATATGATGTGTATTTATATAAATATATGACAAGCGACTTGTATTCCGAAGAACTAGATTTTTTTTTAAAACAAAACAATTTTTAGGCCGGGCGCGGTGGCTCAAGCCTGTAATCCCAGCACTTTGGGAGGCTGAGATGGGCAGATCACGAGGTCAGGAGATCGAGACCATCCTGGCTAACCCGGTGAAACCCCGTCTGTATTAAAAAAATACAAAAAACTAGCCGGGCGTGTTGGTGGGCGCCTGTAGTCCCAGCTACTAGGGAGGCTGAGGCAGGAGAATGGCGTGAACCCAGGAGGTGGAGCTTGCAGTGAGCTGAGATCGGGCCACTGCACTCCAGCCTGGGCGATAGAGCTAGACTCCGTCTCAAAACAAAAAAACAAACCAAAAAACACAAATTTTTTGGTCGGGCGTGGCGGCTCACGCCTGTAATCCCAACACTTTGGGAGGCCAAGGCAGGCGGATAATGAGGTCAGAAGTTCGAGACCAGCCTGGCCAATATGGTGAAGCCCTGCCTCTACTAAAAACACAAAAATTAGCCGGGCATGGTGGCGTGCACCTGTAGTCCCAGCTACTCAGGAGACTGAGGCTGAAGAATCGCTTGAACCTGGGAGGCAGAGGTTGCAGTGAGCGGAGATCATGCCCCTGCACAGAGCAAGACTCTATCAAAAGAAAGAAAGAGAGAGAGAGAAAGAAGGAAGGAAACAAAAAACAAACAAAAAACTTTTTTTTTTTTTTTTTTTTTTTTTTTGAGACAGAGTCTCGCTCTGTGGCCCAGGTTGGAGTGCAGTGGCATGATCTTGATCTTGGCTCACTGCAAGCTCTGCCTCCCAGGTTCATGCCATTCTCCTGCCTCAGCCTCCTGAGTAGTTGGGACTATAGGTGCCCATCACCACGCCCGGCTAATTTTTTTTTTTTTTTTTGTATTTTTAGTAGAGATGGTGTTTCATCGTGTTAGCCAGGATGGTCTCGATCTCCTGACCTTGTGATCTGCCTGTCTCGGCCTCCCAAAGTGCTGGGATTACAGGCTTGAGCCATCGCGCCCGGCCAAAACCAATTTTTTTAAATGGGCAAAAGATTTGAAAAGATAGTTCATCAAATAATAAATATGCATGGCAAATAAACAGATGCAAAGATGCTCAACATCATTAATCCTTAGGGAAATGCAAATTGAAATACAATGGAATAGTACTGCACATCTACTAGAACGGCTAAAATAAAAAATAAACAATGACAATATCAAGTGCCAATGAGAAATTCTTTGCTGGTAGAAATGAAAAATGATATGGCCATTTTGAAAAAAATTTGGCTGTTTCTCACAATTCTCAGTTGCAAAGATAACCAACCTAAGTGCCCATCAACGAACGAATGGATAAAGAAAATGTGTTATATATGCACAGTGGAATACTACTCAGTCATAAAAAGGAATGAAATAATGTCTTTTGCAGCAATTTGGATGGAGCTAGTGGCCATTATTCTAAGTGAAGTAACTCAGGAAGGAAAAACCAAATATATGTTCTCACTTATAAGTGGGAGCTAATCTATGAGGATGCAAACGCATAAGAATGATGTGATGGACTTTGGGGACTTATTAGGGAAGTTCAGGAGGAAAATTAGGTATAAAAGACTACACACTGGGTACGCTGTCCACTGATTGGGTGATGGGTGCGCTAAAGTTTCAGAAATCACCACTAAAGAACGTATCCATGTAACCAGAAACCACCTAGACCCCAAAAACTATTGAAATAGAAATTATTTAAATGTGGCTGTTTCTTATAAAGTGAACAATACATTTACTATACAACCTCAGCAATCCCAGTCTTAACTATATTTACTCAAGAAAAATGAAAACACAGAGTTTTGTGTGTGAATGTTTTTGTTGTTGTTTTGTTTTGTTTTGTTTTTTTGAGATGGAGTCTGGCTCTTTCGCCCAGGCTGGAGTGCAGTGGCCAGATCTCAGCTCACTGCAAGCTCCGCCTCCCGGGTTTATGCCATTCTCCTGCCTCAGCCTCCGGAGTAGCTGGGACTACAGGTGCCCGCCACCTCGCCTGGCTAGTTTTTTGTATTTTTTAGTAGAGACGGGGTTTCACCATGTTAGCCAGGATGGTCTCGATCTCCTGACCTCGTGATTCATCTGTCTCGGCCTCCCAAAGTGCTGGGATTACAGGCTTGAGCCACCACGCCCGGCCTTGTGTGTGAATGTTTATAGCAGACTATTCCTGCTCCAAGAACTGGAAACAACTTAAACATTATAAGTAGAGAATGGACAAATAAGTTTTGGTATATGCATACAATGGAATACTATTCATCAATAAAAATAAATGAACTACTGATACACGCAACACAATATGGATGAGTCTCAAAACAAAAGGATTATACTAAGTGAAAGGAGTTGGATACAAAGGGCTACACACTATACAGGTCCTTTTTTTCTTTTTCAGACAGAGTCTTGCTCTGTCTCCCAGGCTAGAGTGCAGTAGCGAGGTCTCGACTCACTGAAGCCGCTGCCTTCTGGGTTCAAGCAATTCTCCTGTCTCAGCCTCTGGAGCATCTGGGATTATAGGTGCTCAGCTCCACGCCCGCCTAATTTTTGTATTTTTAGTAGAGACAGGGTTTCACCATATTGGCCAGGCTGGTCTTGAACTCTTTGTTTTTTTTTTTTTTTTTTGAGATGGAGTCTCGCTCTGTTGCCCAGGCTGGAGTGCAATGGTATGATCTTGCTCATTGCAACTTCTGCCTCCTGGGTTCAAGCAATTCTCCTGCCTCAGCCTCCCTAGTAGCTAGGATTACAGGCACCCATGACCAGGTCCGGCTAATTTTTGTATTTTTAGTAGAAACAGGATTTCGCCATGTTGGCCAGGCTGGTCTCCAACTCCTGACCTTCGTTGATCTGCCCGCCTTGGCCTCCCAAAGTGCTGGGATTACAGGAGTGAGCCACCACACCCAGCTTGGTCTTGCATTCTTGACATCTAATGGACCACCTGCCTTGGCCTCCCAAAATGCTGGGATTACAGGCATGAGCCACTGTACCTGGCCACAATTCTCTTTATATGACATTCTGAAGAAGGCAAAACTATAGGGACAGAAGTCAAAAGGCATAAGGGAATATTTTTGGATGATGGAGGTATTTTATATCTTTATCGTGGTATTTACACAACTATATACAGTTTCTTTTCTTTTTTTTTTTTTTTTTTTTTTTGGAGGTGGAGTTTCGCTCTTGTTGCCCGGGCTGGAGTGGTGCAATGGCGCAATCTTGGCTTACTGTAACCTCCACCTCCCGAGTTCAAGTGATTCTCCTGCCTCAGCCTCCCTAGTAGCTGGGATTGCAGGCATGTGCCACCACATCTGGCTAATTTTGTATTTTTAGTAGAAGAGGGGGGTTTCTCCATGTTGGTCAGGCTGGTCTCGAACTCCTGACCTCAGGTGATCTGCCCGCCTTGGCCTCAAAAGTGCTGGGATTACAGGCATGAGCCACTGCACCTGGCCACAACTATATACATTTTTCAAAACTCGTAGAACTGTATACTTAGGCCAGGCAGGGTGGCTTGCATCTGTAATCCTAGCAGGGAGGCCAAGGCAGGAGGATTACTTGTGCTCAGGAGTTCGAGACAAGCCTGAGCAACATGGTGAGACTCTGTCTTTACTTAAAGAAAAAAATATATATATACACACACACACACACACATATACACATATATACACACACATATATATGCACACATATGTATACATATATATATCTATATATAAAACTCTACACCTAGAAAAGGTGAATTTCACTAATTTTTTTTTTTTTTTTTTTTTGGAGATGGAGTCTCGCATTTTTTTTGGAGATAGAGTCTCGCCCAGGCTGTGCAATGCGTAATATCAGCTCACTGCAACCTCTGCCTCCTGGGTTCAAGCAGTTCTGCTGCCTCAGCCTCCCAAGTAGCTGGGAGGCTGCCACCACGCCCGGCTAAGTTTTTCTATTTTTAGTAGAGAGGGGATTTCACTGTGTTGGCCAGGCTGGTCTTGAACTCCTGACCTCGTGATCTGCCCACCTTGGCCTCCCAAAGTGCTGGGATTACAGGCATGAGCCACCACGCCCGGCTGGGTGAATTTTACTGTATGTAAATTATACTTTAGTAAACTTGTCTTTGAAAAGAAAGAATAAGAGAAATTAGAAGATGATGGAGCAATACCTTCAAAATTCTGAAGGAAATGTTTTCCAACTTAAAACCCTGTACATATCCAGCCAAACTATAAAGTGTAAGAATAGAATAAAGATTTCCAACAAATATAGTCTCAGAAAAATGTGCTTCCCTGAGCCTTTCTCATGAAACTACTTGTGGGACACATTTCTCCTAAAACTAGGGAGGAAAAAAAAAGAAAAAGAAAAACACACAAAAGGAAAACTTTGGCATACAGAAAACAATAAATCCAACACAAGAGAAGGAGAAAGGGCGTATCCAGGATGGTGTTGAAGGAAGAATGTTGGATGATAACTGTGAGATGGGAGTAGGAGGCAAACAACTGAAGCAGGTAAGAAAGCTCCAGGATAGCTGTGTTCAAGATGAAACTGATAATACACTGTATGCATTTCAATGTCTTGAAATATTTCAGACAATTGGTAGAGAGTTTGTGTTGAATTAATAATAAGTACATAGAAGTCTAAGCAAGTAAAAAACATGATAAAGTCTTAATTCCAGACCAAAAAAAAAAGTTTTTAGTAAAGGCCAATTATAGTGTATGTAATCCAATGAAGCACCTAGAAGATCCTCTGTGTTAAAATTTCTTAGTTAAGCAATCAAGACCCATTTCAGAAAAAATAAAGTATATCTGAACAAATTCCTAACAGAAAGAAAGCGAAATTCCCTTGCAAAACCAACTTAATTTCTGAAATTAAAATCTCAACACATTTCATGATATATTTGAATTTAATTGTTTTACTCTGTGTAAGAGAAACAACAGATACAAAGACTGAGAGAATTAAATTAGTAATTCCATGTACTGATTATGTATGCGTCTTAATTTGTTTGGGCTGCTATAACAAAAGGTCTTAGGCTGGATAATGTATAAACAATAGAAATGTATAGCTCACAGTTCTAGAGGCTGTGAATCAATATCAAGGCACAGACAGGCTTGGTGTCTGGTAAGGGCTCTCTACTTCAAAGATGGTGCCTTCTTCTTGCTATCCTCATGTAACAGAAGGGAAAAGCAGCTCTCTGGGGCCATTTTAATAAGGCCATTAAATCCCATTCACAAGAGCAAAGTTCTCATGATCTAATCACCTCCCAAAGATCCCACCTGTTAATATCATTGAGGGTTAGGTTTCAACATGTGAATTTTGGCAGGATGCAAACATTCACACCATAGCATTACATAAGGAATAATGTTCTTTTTTTTTTTTTTTTTTTTGAGACGGAGTCTCGCTCTGTCGCCCAGGCTGAAGAGCAGTGGCCGGATCTCGGCTCACTGCAAGCTCCGCCTCCCGGGTTTACGCCATTCTCCTGCCTCAGCCTCCCGAGTAGCTGGGACTACAGGCGCCCGCCACCTCGCCCGGCTAGTTTTTTCTGTTTTTTAGTAGAGACGGGGTTTCACCGTGTTAGCCACGATGGTCTCGATCTCCTGACCTCGTGATCTGCCCGTCTCGGCCTCCCAAAGTGCTGGGATTACAGGCTTGAGCCACCGCGCCCGGCCGTTTACAGAAAAAGAAAAATAATTAGGTCTTTATCTTTTCTTTCTTTCATTATTAATTACTGAAACCACCAAAACTATATAATTGCTTAGTTCTTTGGAGTATTTTATCTTGAAATATACAGTTAATGGGCTGGGTGCTGTGGCTCACACCTATAATCCCAGTACTTTGGAAGGCCGAGGCAGGCAGATCACGACGTCAAGAGATCAAGACCATCCTGGCCAAGATGGTGAAACCCTATCTCTGCTAAAAATACAAAAAAATTAGGCAGGTGTGGTGGCTCTTGCCTGTAGTCCCAGCTACTCGGGAGGCTGAGGCATGAGAATCACTTGAACCTGGGAAGTAGAAGTTGCAATGAGCCGAAATCATGCCACTGCACTCCAGCCTGATGACAGAGCGAGACTCTGTCTCAAAAAAGAGAAATATACATTTAATGTAATATTTGACAAAACTACACTATTGTAAGATTCCTTTAAAAAGTATAAACTATTTTCAAGTGTTTGAAAAAATATATTCAAGTGGAGACCAATCTTGCTTAAATGTTTTTATATCTTATATTTTGATTATTGCAAAAGCATCTGAGGCTGTCAGAAAAGATATGGATGATCCTTAAATGCACATTGCTAAGGGAAATAAGCCAGTCTGAAAAGACTATATACTGTATGAGTCCAATTATATGACATTCTGAAAAAGGCAAACTATAGAGATAGTAAAAAGAGGTGAAGGGTTAAATAGGTGAAGCACAGGGGATTATTATTTTAAGGTGATGAAGCTATTCTATATGATACTGTAATAGTGGATATATGACATTATACGGTTGTCAAAACCTACAGAACTTTATAGCACAAAGTGAACCTTAAAGTATGCACATCCTTAAAAAAAATCATTTTGGGCTGGGCGTGGTGGCTCATGCCTGTAATCTCAGCACTTTGGGAGACTGAAGTGGGCAAATCGCTTGAGCCCAGGAGTTCAAGACCAGCCTGGGCAAAATGGTGAAACCGTGTCTCTACAAAACATACAACAAATGAGCCGGGCATGGTGGTGTGTTCCTGTAGTCCCAGCTACTCAGGAGGCTGAACTGGGAGGATCAGATGAGACCGAGAGATTGAGACTGTAGTGAGCCGTGATCATGTCACTACACTCTAGTCAGGGCTACACAGTGAGACCCTGTCTAAAAAACAAAACAAAACACCCCATAAAACATTTTGGAGGTTGTGGTTGTGATGTAAGGCCTAAAATTAAGGCTCAATATTACGTGTTGTCTTGACATCTGGTAAAACTGGGAGGGCCTTGAATTGCCTAGTGTTAAGTTCTCCTCCCCACTCTGCTCCCATGTGTAAGCTCCCCCAGCCAAACAACCCTCTTTGTCAAATGGACCAGGCAAAGTTCCTGCTAATCCCTGAGGAGCGGGTTTCAGTTTCCTGCCAGCTCTTGGAATTACTCAAACAACCAATTACATCCTCCACAGGAACCAGGAGCACCACATCCTCTTGATACCACAGAGCCTGCCTCCCAGAGCTTGATTGTTAATTCTGCTCCTGAATGCAGAGTGTGGCCCTGAGTGGTATGCAGTATTCTTTTCCAGGCTGTGAGTATATGTAACTAATAGACTGCTGTTCACATCATCTGTTCTGTGTTGGGTGTTATGTGTTCGGTCATCCCCATTACCCTAGGGTACAAATCCCTCCCTCACCAACAGGGAGAATAGCAAGTGATTAAAACAGAGATTGGGGGAAATCTCAGATGGAATGCAGATTGTGACAACATGACCTATCTGGTATGATACAGGTATGAAACAACCTCACTGAAAAGAGTGGAGGATGGGCCAGGCACGGTGGCTCACACCTGTAATCTCAGCACTTTGGGAGGCCGAGGCGAGCGGATCACCTGAGGTCGGGAGTTTGAGACCAGCCTGACCAACATGGAGAAACCCCGTCTCTACTAAAAATACAAAATTAGCTGGGGGTGATGGTGCATGCCTGTAATCCCAGCTACTCGGGAGGCTGAGGCAGGAGAATTGCTTGAACCCTGGAGGTGGAGTTTGCAGGGTGAGCCGAGATTGTGCCATTGCACTCCTGCCTGGGTAACAAGAGCAAAACTCTGTCTCAAAAAAAAAAGTGGAGGATGGCCAGGCATGGTGGCTCACGCCTGAAATCCCAGCACTTTGGGAGGCTGAGGTGGGTGGATCACTTGAACCTAGGAGTTCGAGACCAGCCTTGGCAACACAGTGAAACCTCATCTCTACAAAAAATACAAAAAAATAGTCAGGTGTGGTGGCGTGTGCCTGTAGCCCCAGCTACTCTGGAGGCTGAGATGGGAAGGTGGCTTGAACCCAGGAGGTGGAGGTTGCAGTGAGTCAACATTGTGCCACTGCACTCCAGCTGGGGGGACATAGTGAGACCTAGTCTTTCCAAAAAAAAAAAAAAAAAAAAAAAACCCAAAAAACAAAAAACAAAAAGAAAGAAAGAAAAAGAAAAGAACGAAAGAATGAAAGAAAGAAAGAGGGAAAGAAAGAAAGAAAGAAAGAAAGAAAGAAAGAAAGAAAGAAAGAAAGAAAGGAAGGAAGGAAGGAAGGAAGGAAGGAAGGAAGGAAGGAAAGAAAAGAGTGGAGGAAATACTTGCTTATCTAGGGAAACGGTAGAGTCTAAAATTACCCTTGGAAATCAGTGGAGTCTGTAAGATTAAACGCAAAAGGAATTGCACAAAAGCACTGGAATTAACAAGATGATAAAAAAAATTGATATTGACAAGGATAAAGGTTAACAATTTGCATATTTGTATAAATGTACACTTGAACAATTAGGTAAATGGATAGTAGATTATGGAAGTTAGCTTCCTTACTCTTGGAGTGGGAGTTTATAGATAAGCAAAGGTAGGAGGCTAGAACAATCCATAGGGTAGTGGATTAGAATTGCTTGTATGGATCAGTGTGAAGTCACGTTTAGCTTAACATATATAAGGATGTGCTATGGTCTGAATGTTTGTGTCCCCCCAAACCTTATATGTTAATCACCAATGTGATAGTATTAGGAAGTGGGGCCCTGAGAGGTGATTAGGTTATAAGGTTAAAGTCTTCATGAGTGGGATCAGTGCCCTTATAGCCAGAGAGCTGCCTTACCCCTTCTACCATGTGAGGACAAAGCAAGAATGCACAATCTGTGAACCAGGAAACAGGCCCCCACTAGACACCAAATCTGTCAGCACCTTTATCTGGGACTTCCAGCCTTCAGAAATGTGAGAAATAAATTTCTGTTGTCTATAAGCTACCCAGTTTATAGTGTTTTGTTGTAGCAGCTCAATCATATTAAGACAGGATGGTTCCACATGTGGAAATATTTAGAAATATGGGTATTTTTATTGGTTAATACACACACATCTATTTCTTTGCTCTGTCAGCAGATAGGATCTAGATGCCACAGCACCCCAGAAACAATGAGCAAAGCTAGCGCTGAATCTTGGTTTCTACTACCATTCTCCAATAAAAGTAATCAGGACCCCTTGGAGAAATGGCTGATTCTAAAACTAGAGCAGGGGATATACAAAATGGGTCTGGAGCATCTTGTAGTGGCAGAAAGTAAGAAAGTGCTAAACAAAGAAACAATACAAACTATGTTGATGGAGGTATATCAAACGGATACAGGAGCCAACTGAAAGAGCACCCAAGGACTAAAGCTGGAATAACCTGAGCAATAAGATAAATTGACATTAGTTTATAATCCAGTGCATAAAATAAGCCCATGAGTCCACACTGCTATAAATAAATGACTCACTGAATACATAAATTGAAAAGAAGAGACAAATCTTCCACGAAGAATTCCAAATAATTAATTTGTAAAGCACTCACAGAACCCAGAGAAACAGTTTACTTATGTTTACTGGTATATATACACACACACATATGTATATATGTATGTATATATACATATATGTGTATACATGTGTATATATGTATGTATATATATGTATGTATGTGTGTATATATATATTTGGTCTCTGCCACTGGTTCCTAAAGCACTCATAAACAGGGGCACCAGGAAAATCTTTTCTTCTAATATTTGGTCTTTGTCTTCATTTCCTGACACGGAGCTCCTAAATCTCTTGGAATTTCCTAGGTGATAGGAACATTTTTTGTTCTGATAAGGCAGCTTTCGATGGGCTCATGGACAGCCTTCAGGATGGAGGGTGGGTACCAAGGGAGCCAACTATGTAATTAGAGGATTGAAACTTTTCTGTCCTACCTCCCAATCTCTGGAGAGGGGAGAGGGGCTAAAGGTTGAGTTTATTACCAATGGCCAATGATGTAATCACTCATGCCTATTTAATGGATCTTCCATAAAAATCCATAAGGACAGCGTTTGGAGAACTTCTGGATTGCTGGATATGTGGAGGTTCCTGGGGGCGGCGTGCCTTGAGAGGGCATGGAAATTCCATGCCCCTTCCCAGATGCTTTGCCCTATGAATCTCTTCCATCCAGCTGTTCATCTGTATCCTTTGTAATAATACCCTTTATAATAAACCAGTAAACAGAAGTAAACTGTTTCTCTGGGTTCTGTGAGTGCTTTACAAATTAAAAGAACCCGAGGAGGCGGTTGTGGGAACCTCTGATTTATACCTAGTTGGACAGAAACATACACAAGTCACAACCTGGAGTTGTGGGGGTGGAGAGTCTTTCAAGACTGAACCCTTAACCTATGGGATCTGGCAGTACCTCTAAGTAGACAGAGATAGAAATAAGTCAGAATGGAATTACAGGACATGCAGTTGGTGTCTGCTGGAGATCTGGTGTCAAAAGTGTTGTATTGAGTGGTGTTTGAAACTATAAAAAAGTGTTTTTTTGGTCTGTTTTTTGTTTTTTTCCCCTATCTCATTCAGTTGCTGTAACAGAATACCATAGACTGGGTGGCTTTATAAACAACAGGAATTTCTCACAGTAATGGAGGCTGGAAGCTTGAGATCAGGGTGCCAGTACGGTTGGGTTCTGATGCAGGCCTCCTTTGAGTTTGCAGACTGCTGACTTCTTGTCATACTCTCAGGTGGTGGAAGGAAAGAGCCAGACAGTTCTCTGGAGTCGCTTTCATTTATGACGGCTCTACCTTCATGACCTAATTACCTCCCAAAGGCACGCCTCCTAATAATATAATCACATGGAGAATTAGAATTTCAATATATGAATTTTGGGAGGGACACAAACATTCAATCCATAACATCTAAATATAAGACAAGGCTCAGAGCAGTGGCTCATGTCTGTAATCCCAGCACTTTGGGAGGCCAAGGCACGTGGATCCACAAGGTCAGGAGTTCGAGACTAGCCTGGCCAACATGGCGAAACCCCGTCTTTATTAAAAATATAAAAATTAGCACTGCTACAGGTGGCACACACCTGTAGTCTCAGCTACTTGGGAGGCTGAGTCACAAGAATCACTTGAACCCAGGAGGCGGAAGTGGCAGTGAGCCGAGATCCCAGCACTGCACTCCAACCTGGGTGACAGAGCGAGACTCCATTCTAAAAAATAAATAAATAAATACATAAAGTATCCTGGATGGGATCCTAGAACAAAAAAGGGACCTTAGGTAAAAACTAAGGAAGTTGGAATAAAGTGAAGACTTTAGTTACTCATAATATATCAATATTGATTGGTTCATAAATCATAACAAATGTACCACGCGATGTAAGGTGTTGACAATAGGGAAAACTGCGTGTAGGGCATATGATAACTCTGTATTAGTTTAACAACTTTTCTGTAAATCTAAAGCTGTTCTGAAAAATAAAGTCTATTTTCAAAAAGCATTTGGGAAGACCGGGCGCGGTGGCTCTCGCCTGTAATCCCAGTACTTTGGGTAGCCGAGGCAGGCGGATCACCTGAGGTCAGGAGTTCAAGACCAGTCTGGTCAACGGGGTGAAACCCCATCTCTGCCAAAGATCATAGCCAGTCATGGTGGCATGCATCTGTGGTCCCAGCCACTTGGGAGGCTGAGGTGGAAGGATCACTCGAGCCTGGGAGGCAGAGGTTGGAGTGAGCTGGAATCGTGCCATTGCACTCCAGCCTGGGTGACAGAGTGAAACTCCATCCCCAAAAAACAAAACAAAACAAACCAAAAAGCATTTGGGAAGCTTAGAGAATAATATCCAGCAAAGTAAGTAATAAATAAACAAGGAAATAAGGATCTTAGGGGAAGGAAAGTAAGATAAATCAAGGCATGAGGTTAGAAGACTAAAATGTATGCCTTTAAGAGACTACATCTTTGTTAGAGTTAGCTGTCATTGTGAGTCAGCTGAATTGAAAAAGCTTTGCAGATTTGTTTCTTAGAGCATCCCCCAGGGCCTGAGGCTAGAGGGCAGCAGCTCAAGGTTGGAGGGAGCTAAGCTGGGCCGGCTGCACAGGAGGTAATCTATAAGTGATATTATGCACTGCCCCACTGCGCCCCCCAACCCCGAGGGTTGAAAGCATCACTAGAATTTCTATTTACCTGAGCTTCGTAATTGCCTGAGCTCTTCTAAGAGGGATGTGGCTAAACAGAACAACTTTGACAATCCACTTGGTCGGGGCGGATAAAACTCCCCGACCCACAAACACACTTAGATGGCCTGTTAACTGCTGTCTAAGAAGTCAGGGTCTGGTTACCACAAGGTCTTTGTTCACTGGGGCACTGATTCAGCAGTCCTCTTTCTCTGTCTTTCCACTTAAATAAATGTTGGATAGTTTTTTTTATTTTTTATTTATTTTATTTTTTATTTTTTTGAGATGGAGTCTCACTGTGTAGCCCAGGCTGGAGTGCAATGGCATGATCTCAGCTCACTGCAATCTCTGCCTCCTGGGTTCAAGCAATTCTCCTGCCTCAGCCTCCCAAGTAGCTGGGACTACAGGCGCCCACCACCACGCCCAGCTAATTTTTTGTATTTTTAGTAGAGACGGGGTTTCACCATGTTAGCCAGGATGGTCTTGATCTCCTGACCTCGTGATCCGCCTGCCTTGGCCTCCCAAAGTGCTGGGATTACAGGTGTGAGCCACCATGCCCGGTTAATGTTGGATAGATTTTAAATAATTTTGTTTTGAAGGAGACCAAATTCCTGGTTTGAATGGAGAGTCGAATAATTAGCTTACTAAAGGCATCTACATGTTTATTGGCTCTTTGTAGTACCAAAGTATAATTCAGTAAAAGCAATTTTAACAGTGACCAAAAAACAGGACAAATTACTCTCCCTTGCTGATGGTCTCAAATGATCCAAGGGTACAGTTTAGACTATCAACATATTCTTCAGGTGCCCATCCGAGGATATAGCTTCTCTTAGCTGATAAGAATAGGGCACCAAAGAATTTAGAGTTACGTCTTTTGGTAAATATATATACTTTGTACTGCTGATTATGTATAGATCCATACATCTGATAATCAGCAAGTCAACTGAGGGGTGGACAGGGTTGATATCTTCTTGTTAACACTAAGGAATCCAACCAGGACTAACCAACCACATCCACATGGAGATGGGCCAACAGAGTCCTTGTGAACAGTGCAAAAATTTTCCCTAGAAGACAGTTCTGGGAAAACTGTGTGGCTCATGCCTGTAATCCCAGCACTTTGGGAGGCCGAGACGGGTGGATCACGAGGTCAGGAGTTCAAGACCAGCCTGACCAACATAGTGAAACCCCGTCTCTACTAAAAATACAAAAATTAGCCAGGCATGGTAGTGCGCGCCTGTAGTCCCAGCTACTTGGGGAGGCTGAGGCAGGAGAATCGCTTGAAATCGGGAGATGGAGGTCGTAGCTAGCCAAGATCATGTCACTGCTCTCCAGCCTGGGCGACCGAGCAAAACTCCGTCTCAAAAAAAGCACACAAAAAACAAAAAACAGGTCTGGGCCTGTTCTACAAGGGCAATTGAGCTTAAAATTCATCACTATGAAGGGATTGCAAATATCTTAGCCTAAAATAATTTCAAGACGCAGTGTGGTGGCTCACACCTGTACCCAGCACTTTAAGAGGCTGAGGCAGAATTCCTTTAGCCCAGGAGTTGAAGACCAGCCTGGGGAATACACCAAGACCCCGTCTCTACAAAAAATTTAAGAAATAAGCTGGGCGTGGTGGCACATGCCTGTGGTCCCAGCTACTCAGAAGGCTGACATGAGAGGATCCCTTGAGTCCCGAGGCTGAGGCCGCAGTGAGCCATGATCACACCACTGCACTGCAGCCTGGGCGACAAAGCAAAAGCCTGTCTCTTTCTAAACCAGGGTCTAGAAATCATCTATCATAGCTAAGGGGAGACAATTTTCTACAAGCTAATTTTAATCACTGTAACTTCTTGGGGAGCTTCTAATATAAATGGACTGCTGTTCTGTCTCTTCCACAGGTTTGTATTGCTTCTGGATCCTTTAATTATCCATGTTTTCTAAGTAAGTGCTTTGTCCTTGGATCCCTTTATAAACTGGAGAGATCGCATCCATATTCACTGCTCTACTTCATCTGCCATCTGTTCGGTGATGACAAACGATCTGTAACACTGGACTGACTTTTAAAAGAAATTAATAAGTATTTTATTGATATATAATATTTCTACATATTTGTGGGATACATATGATATTTTGTTGCATGCATAGAATATGTAACGATCAACTCAGGGTATTTAGGATAGCTAGCATTTTGAGTATTTATTATTTCTATGTGTTGTAAACATTTCAGATGATCTCTTTAAGCTATTTTGAAATATATAACACATTGTTAACCATTAGACTGCCTTATCTTTGGACCTATAGACCTGCATGACCGGTATCATCATGGATATTTTTACCTCTTTACCTGAATGTCTCTTTGATTTTTTTTTTTTTTTTTTTTTGAGATGGAGTGTTGCTCTGTCACCCAGGCTGGAGTGCAGTGGCACGATCTCGGCTCACTGCAACCTCCACTTTCTGGGTTCAAGCGATTCTCCTACCTCAGCCTCCCAAGTAGCTGGGACCACAGGTGTGTGCCACGATGCCTGGATAATTTTTTGTATTTTTTTTAGAGACGGGGTTTCACCATGTTAGCCAGGATGGTCTTGATCTCCTGACCTCATGATCTGCCTGCCTCGGCCTCCCAAAGTGCTGAGATTACAGGTGTGAGCCACCAAACCCGGCCTCTTTGATGTCTTAATGTTACAAATATTCATAATTTCAGTTGAACACCCATTCCTCTAAAATCCTACCAGAATCCTGGGAGGTAATTAAGATTCCTTCCTGGATGGGCACGGTGGCTTACACCTGTAATCCTAGCACTTTGGGAGGCCGAGGCAGGTGGACCACGAGTTCAGTAGTTCGAGACCATCCTGGCGAAGACAGTGAAACCCCATCTCTACTAAAAATACAAAAAATTAGCCGGGCGTGGTGGCGGGCGCCTGTAATCCCAGCTACTCGGGAGGCTGAGGCAGGAGAATCTCGTGTATCTGGCAGGCGGAGTTTGCAGTGAGCGGAGATCGTGCCACTGCACTCCATCCTGGGCAACAGAGTGAGACTTCGTCAAAACAAAACAAAACAAAACAAAAAAAACAGATTCCTTCCTTTCCCTCTCTCTGCACATCACTCAATTCCTTCCTTTCTAATTCCACTTTATGAAAAGGTCTTGGGTTTTTCCTTTTTGTATGTGGTGACTGCCTCATTTCTTCATTAGATGATTGCAAGTTTCCTGATTTACCACTTTGGTGTTGCCCTTCTCTAATGTATATCCTCCAAAATAAAGTCAGAGTTTTTAGAAATTTTTCTAAAAGTTTTGATTCTGTTATATGTGCATAAGGCTCTAAATCAAAATTTACAAAGGGTATACAGAGAAAAGTCTGCCCCTTGCCCCTGACTTTTAGTCACCTCATTTCTCTTCCCAAATGTACCCACAGCTACCAATTTTGGAGAAAATAATTTATTTCTACACAGCATCTACTTCACATCTTTCCAAAGCTTATCACTCTACAAGATAATGTCCAAACTGAGAAGCACATGAGGCATTTCAGGATTTGGTCTGTTTAACTTTAGTGGGTTTACCTCTCATTTTCTTCTAACAAGTCCCTCTATACATCAGATTCCAGCCCCTGTAACAATTAGCTCTTCCCTAAACAGCCTACTTCCCTCTGTGAAAAAAAATTTTTTTTTTTTTAAGATGGAGTCTCACTCTGTCCCCTAGGCTGAAGTGCAGTGGCGCGATCTCAGCTCGCTGCAACCTTTGCCTCCCAGGTTCAAGTGATTCTCCTGTCTCAGCCTCCCGAGTAGCAGGATTACAGGTGCACACCGCCATGCCTGGCTAATTTTTTGTATTTTAGTAAAGACAGGGTTTTACCATGTTGCCCAGGCTGCTTCAACTCCTGAGCTCAGGCAATCCACCTGCCTCGGCCACCCAAAGTGTTAGGATTACAGGTGTGAGCCACTGCGCCTGGCCTTCTTTACTTTTTTATTTTTATATTTTTGAGATAGGGTCTCACTTTGTCACTCAGGCTGGAGTGCAGTGGCATGAACACGACACACTGCAGCCTTGACCTCCTGGGCTCAGATGATTTTCTCACCTCAGCCTCCTGAGTAGCTGGGACTACAGGCATGCACCCCGACGCCTGGCTGATTTTTTGTAGAGATGAGGTCTCATAATGTTGCCCAGGCTGGTCTCAAACTCCTGAGCTCAAGTGAGCCTCCTGCCTCGGCCTCCCAAAGTGTTGGGATTACAGGTGTGAGACACTGTGCCTGGGTGGCCTCCCTTTTGTGTGTAGAAATCATCATCTCTTAATACTTCACCATAAACATATTCAAGTTAAAGCTTTGGCAGACCTCCACAGATAAAGGTTATACTGATCTCTCATGATGGCCTTTAGCACCATATATGCATTTTATTTTGTTTATTTTTTAAGAGATAGCGTTTTGCTCTGTCACCCAGGCTGGAGTACAGTGGCATAATCATAGCTCACTGCAGCCTGTACCTCCTGAGCTCAACTGATCCTCACACCTCAGCCTCCAAAGGATCTAGGACTATAGGTGAGAACCACCAGACCCAGCTAATTTTGAATTTATTTTTATTTTTTTTGTAAAGACAGAATCTCACTACATTGTCTAGACTTGTGTTTTTATTATAGCACCTATAACATTGCTTTGTCTCCTATTAGAAGGCAGAACCATGTTCCTTTGTTTAAGTCCCTAGGATCTAGCGAACTGCCCAGTACATAGTGTTTGTTTAATACAAATAAAATATTAGTTACAATGTAGCTACAAGTAAGCTAAGGAAATATTAGCCTGCATTAATAGCAGTGTAGTACTCAGAAGTTTTAGTTCCAGCCACCATATTTAGAGATAGTCCTTGGAGAAGTGTAATATCCACCTGGCAGTATAGAGTCCAGTAATGCTGTAATAACCTTGAGAAGATGACTCCGAGGAGTCTGCCCACTTATATTCCAATACATTTTACTGAGATGGTGTACAGTTACAACAGATAGGTCAGGAAACTGGGTGTAAGTCACAGTCTACCTTATCTTTGCTTCCCCCTGGTAGAATGTTGAGTATGTAAATATTATCTCTCCTGGATGGGTGCGGGGATGGTGGAATATAGAGGACTGCTACTGTAGACCATGAGCTCTTTCAAGGTAGGGACCGTGACTTTTCATTTTTTAGAAAAATGAAATTTTCTATAGTGTCTGGCAGTTAACAAAAGTTTGAAGAATGAAGGAAGTGAACATTTGGGAATAGATCAATGGGAGAATGAAAGGAAGACAGGGTGGAAGAAAATGTGACAAAAATTTAAAAAGGTAATTAAGAGAAAAAGCAAAGGAATACAGGAGGCTTCTTAATACAGTAGTCTTACAAACAGTGAATTGGATTCAGTTTTTAACTCAACATGAATGGAAAAGAAACAAAACCAAAATTAAAAACACTGAGCAATTAAAGCTGCTTTAAACAGAGACTATGGGAAACTGGATAAGATGATGTCTAAGCTTCTATCCAATTTTTTGATCTATAATTCTAGGTTTTATCTCCCCAAAAACGCTTTTAAGTGTAAATGCCAGTTAATGACTATTTATTAAATAGAATTATAATCTACAATGGCACAAAGCAGAAACAAACCGATGTTTCTACTAAAAAAAAAGGTTATGTTACTTTCTTGAATTTTCATAGTTTAAAGAAGAGATTGGCAAATGGATTTGCAAAACTCAGCTTCAGTTTGTTCCCTTGCAACATGCTCAGTGAGTGGTACACAGTTGAGGTCCTTTGCTATCTTTTCCTTTTTTTTTTTCCCTAGGGTACTCTCTCTCCCACCCTTGGGCCTGAGGAGAGATGTCAGATCTTTTTCTTTCAGGTTAGAAGAAATGGCAGAACTTTCCTGGGTTAAATTCTAGACATAATAAAAACTTAAAGTAATTTAAGATGCTATTTGGGGAGGGGAGGGAGTTTAAGGTTCCCTGCCGCACACGGAAATCCAGAGAGCTATTTCTGCTTTACAGAGATCCCAAATCCAAAAATTCTGCTTTGCAGAGATGCCTTGTGTAGAAATTCACAAGGCGAACAGATAAAAGTGAAAAAGCAAGACACCAAAAGTTACAACAGTAACCACCACACCACCTGCCCCCCAAATACATCAGTAATCAAAGATTTCTTAACTTTTTGCTCTTCAAACAATGTGCAGTCCTCAATACAGTAGGAACTTGGTGAAGGCTAGCTGGAACTGTTCTCTGCTTATCTGGTGTAATTCTAAGCTCAAAGGCAGAAACTTTTGCTTCCCCTGCAATATCTTCCTTGGAAGAAAACGGTGCCTAATGCATGTTACTTTGATTTCAGAAACAGAGAGGAGAAAATCAGAAGAGTTGGGTAATTGATTTTTGTTGGGATTAAAAATGACTATTAGTTTTTTACTTTTCTTTTCATGAAGATGCAATTTTTTTGGGGGGGAGGGGCATTGACACTGGCCCAGTGCTATGACATTCCAAAACTGAGAGAATATAAACGTTTTAAAACAGAACACTTGATTTTGACTACTAATTAGAGGAGTGGAATTGAGTAACAAACTCAAACATTTTATTAAAAATAAGCAGACTTTATGCTATGGTATGGTTCCATTTATGTTTATATAATACATTAAGTATTACTCATTGTAAGTACAATAAATATTTGTTGATCCGGTTGATGTAACTGTAAGCCTTGTTCTCAGTCCAGTGAACGTATACATTTTACCGATAATCTGAAAGTATTAATTCCTATACACCAAAAGATTTGCGTATCATCCCCCTCTTGGAATACACATTCACTTGTACATATCCCCAGCCTGCTCCTCGCAACAGAGTTTGCTTTGGGGAAGAAATTTCAGGATCACCTCCAGAAGAAAACACCGACAGCGCTCCTAGAGCCATCGTGGTGTCCAGTAGCAATTTACAGGCTCCAAGCGAAAAAAGAGCGCGGGTCGGCGGCGGTGGTGGTGGCGGGGGCGGGGAGGGGGGAGCGGGAAACTCCATCACAGACGCAAGTGAAAACTCCTGCGGCTTCTAGATTCCATCCAAGAAGGAAAGATCAGAATCAAGATTAGAAAGGAGTGGCAGGGCGGTGCCCCCTGCCTTGCTTTAATTCACGCGCCCCTTGTAACAAGCCACGGATCTGCATCACTCAAGCGGGCTTCCCAGTCCTCATCTCCCCTCTGGAATCACCCGCAGAAGGGTCTTCTCCGACCCCAGAGTGGTAATTAGGGAAGCTCACTGCCGGCAGAAACTCTGCCAGAGGAGAAAGGAGCCGGGGGGGCGACGGTTCCCCTAATCGTTCCAGTAAGCCCCTCCGCGTGCCGGTGGGCGGGCGCCCAGGCCCGAGGATGCGGGGCGAGGAGGCGGGTACCGGTGCTTCTCCCGGCAGCCCCCGCCCGCCCCGCCAGGGGGAGCGTCTGCGCCCGACGGCGGCTGCGGGGCCTGGGCTGGCGGCGCAGGGCGGTGGCTCAGCTCGGCGGCTGCCCTCCCGCGTCCCCACCCCCTCCCCGCCCGCCCCCGGCGCGGCCCTGCCCGCCCCCTCCGCCCCCTCCCGCAGCGCCATGCGCAGACTCAGTTCCTGGAGAAAGATGGCGACAGCCGAGAAGCAGAAACACGACGGGCGGGTGAAGATCGGCCACTACATCCTGGGTGACACGCTGGGGGTCGGCACCTTCGGCAAAGTGAAGGGTGAGAACCCCCGGGGCTAGGCTCGACCCCAGCTGGGGAGCCGCACGACTTCCGCTTTCGGCACCTCTTCATCCTCCCCCGTCCGCTGCGTCCCTCCTTTCCAGGGCTGGGCAGCCCCTGTCCCGGATCCTGCGGGAGCTCTCCCCAGCCGCCGCGGGGCTGCGGCGCGGCCAGCACAGCCGGGTGGGGGTGGGGTGGGGACCAGTCGCCATGGCGACGGCGCCGCGGCCGGAGGGGCTGGTAGGTGCGAGGGGCGGGGATGAGGAGGTGCAAACTTTCCCAGGTGGGGCAGGCGGGCGGCGTGGCGCGCTCTGGGTGCTGAGAGGGGGCGCCGGGCGCGATCCCTGGGGAGACAGCCTCTTGTGCGCCCGGGTTGTGCTCCCTTGGCTCAGGGCCAGCCCATCGCTTCCTTGGCGGTCCTCGGCGTTGTCCATATTTCCGTCCTCTGTAGGAGGCCGTCGATTTACCGGCCCCTGCTGTTTCCCGAGAGCGACATGTGTTTCCGCAGAAGTAAGGTTTCTTTGTGGGTAGCCGACATCATTTTTTAAAAAAGGCCATCTCGTCGGAAAGGATCACTGGTTTCCTTCGGAGCAGTTAATGAATATAAACTGGTTCAGTATTTGCGATGCATGCTTTACGTTCTGAATGAGACTGTGCCTTTAGTGTTTCCGAATTAACAGGAGTTTCTCCGTGCGAAACTTGGTTGTTAGTTCAGATGTTGCCTCCAGATAGTATTTATTACTTTATTAATACAGTTCGTTTCCACTTATTTTCAAAGGCTATTTGTATTCTAATAAACGATTATTCTAATAAACATTTGAACTTTTGTTTTAAGAAAGGCATATTAGGTGCATTGTACACCATTCGAGTGACGGGTACACTAAAAGCCCAGACTTCACCACTATGCAGTTCATCTGTGTAACCTAAAGCCACTTGTGCCCCTAAAGCTATTGAAATTAAAAGAAAGAAAAATGTGTACTCTTTCAAAACAATATTCTGGAAATAAGCTTGCTCTTCAGTCCACCAATCCTGGCAAAAAAACGTTTAATTGCAAGTTTTGTGAGGTGTGATTTTTTTTTTTTTTTCTTTAAAATATTTGACTTTGCTATAAGGGATACAGAGAAAGGAAGTTTGGAACTGATGAAAATAATTCATGCATTGGCTTTGGATAAATAATAGACTGACTTGCATATACTAAGTTCTTGGTAAATATTTGAGTTGAAAGAAAAAAAGTTTGTGAAAGTCTGTACCGTAACTCAACTGAGCCTTACTCTCCCAGAGCTAAATAAACATTTTCTGATTTTGTCTAGGGTTAGAAGAGAAGAACCCTTCCTTCTCTTGCCATTTTCTGAGTCATAGAATTGGAAAATTGTTGTATATCCCACAGGGAAGCAACTGCCTGAACCTTCTTATGAAAATCGGCAAGGCTGACAATGTCAGGAGGAAGTAAGAAGCAAATTAAGAAGCAAATGCAAGAATTGGGTAATAACAGCCATTGGGACAGGTCCATATAAGGCCAATAAGATGTTTCTGTGCCCTGGAAGTTTTAACTTTATCTTTGGCTATGATATTTCTTGTTAGCAATTACAAACTGCTCTTTAGTTTACAGGTGTTTGTAAAAAAAAAAAAAAAAGTTCATTTTTTGCCCCCACCCCTTCCCAGAGTTCTGCTTGGATTAGGGTGTTCATCATTCCCCTAATATAGACTTGAATGCTTGAATAAAGTCAGGTCTATTTTTTTTTCTTTTTTCTTTTTTTATTTTTGCCGAGATGGAGTCTTGCTCTGTTGCCCAGACTGGAGTGCCGTGGTGCGATCTTGGCTCACTGCAACCTCCGCCTCCTGGGTTCAAGCAGTTCTCCTGCCCCAGCCTCCCCAGTAGCTGGGATTACAGGCGCCCACCACCACACCCAGCTAATTTCGTATTTTTAGTAGAGATGGGGTTTCACTGTGTTGGCCATGAACTCCTGACCTCAGGTGATCTACCCACCTCAGCCTTCCAAAGTGCTGGGATTACAGGCGTGAGCCACGGCGCCTGGCCGATCAGAATCTTTAACCTGTTCATTTTTTAAGTTAACAGTTAGGATGCTTTTTGCCACAAGTAATAGAAAATCCAGCTTCACCTAGTGAAGAACTTGTCTGTGGTTCTCCAGAGCAGGGAAGGCCAGCATACCTCTTATGAGTCTCATTGGCTCATCCAGTCCCTGTGGCTAGGAATGCCATGGACCAATTGGCTTATGCTTGTATTCCTAAGCAGGCGTTAGCAAGGGGGATGGCATTGCCCTTGGAGGAATGTGACCCTTTGATGTGTGTGTGCAAAGGAGGTGGGTGGGTGGGAGACATATTCTTTTGTTTAAAAATTTGTTTTATTTTTTAAATTTTTCTTTAAGTTTTTGGGGTACAGATGGTATTTGGTTACATGAGTAAGTTCTTTAGTGGTGATTTGTGAGATTTTGCTGCACCTATCTCCGGAGTAGTATATACTGCACCATATTTGTAGTCTTTTGTCCCTCACCCCCTTCCCACTCTTCCCCCCAAGTCCCCAAAGTCCATTGTATCATTCTTATGCCTTGCGTCCTCATAGCTTAGCTCCCACGTATCAGTAATGAGAACATACTATGTTGGTTTTCCATTCCTGAGTTACTTCACTTAGAATAATAGTCTCCACTCTTATCCAGGTCACTGCAAATGCTGTTAATTCATTCCTTTTTATGGCTGCGTAGTATTCCGTCGTGTATATATATACCACAGTTTCTGTATCCATACATTGATTAATGGGCATTTGGATTTGTTCCATGATTTTGCAATTGTGAATTGTGCTGCTGTAAACATGCATGTGCAAGTATCTTTTTAGAATAATGACTTCTTTTCAGAAGGGATTGCTGGATCAAATGGTAGTTCTACTTTTAGTTCTTTAAGGAATATCCACACTTTTCCATAGCAGCTGTACTAGTTTACATTCCCACTAGCAGTGTAGAAATGTTCCCTGTTTACCCTTTTCAACAAATGGTGCTGGGATAATTGGCCAGCCACATGTAGGAGAATGCAACTGGATTCTCACCTCTCAACCTCATAAAAAATCAACTCAAGATGGATTAAGGACTTAAACCTAAGACCTGAAACTATAAAAATTCTAGAAGATAACATTGGAAAAACCCTTCTAGACATTGGCTTAGGCAAGGATTTAATGACCAAGAACCCAAAAGCAAATGCAATAAAAACAAAGATAAATAGCTGGGATCTAATTAAACTGAAGAGCTTTTGCACAGGAAAAGGAACAGTCAGCAGAGTAAACAGACAACCCACACAGTGGGAGAAAATCTTCCTAATCAATACATCTGAAAGGACTAATATCCAGAATCTATGATGAACTCAAACAAATAAGAAAAAAACAAACAGTCCCATCAAAAAGTGGGCTAAAGATGTGAATAGATAATTCTCAAAAGAAGATATACAAATGGCCAAGAAACATGAAAAAATGCTCAACATCACTAATGATCAGGGAAATGCAAATCAAAACCACAGTGTGATACCACCTCACTCCTGCAAGAATGGCCATAATAAAAAAATCAAAAAGCAGTAAATGTTAGTGTGGATGTGGTGAACAGGGAACACTTTTTTTTTTTTTTTTTTTTTTTGGACAGAGTTTCACTCTTGTCAGCCAGGCTGGAGTGCACTGGCGTGATCTCAGCTCATTGCAACCTCTGCCTCCTGGGTTCAAGTGATTCTTCTGCCCCAGCCTCCCTAGTAGCTGGGATTATAGATGTGAGCCACCACGTCCTGCTAATTTTTGTATTTTTAGTAGAGATGGGGTTTCACCATGTTGGCCAGGCTGGTCTGGAACTCCTGACCTCAGGTGATCTCACCCACCTCGGCCTCCCAAAGTGATGGGATTACAGGCCTGAACCACCGTGCTGGGCCAGGAGATATCTTCTAAGTACTTGGATAGTGTAGAGGGACAGGGTATATACCTACACATAAATGGGTGTTGTTAGGAGAGAGAAAGGGGGACATGGATACTCAGTGAACAGGCAGAAATGGCCACTATCCTGGTGATCTTGGTAATTAACACCAGTAGCCTTAATTATGCAAGAATTCTTGCAAATAATAGGGTTAGCCATATATTTAGACAATTTGGAATAAAGAAAGCTTTAAAAATTAGTTATATATATTGGTAAATTTAACATGAAGAGGGATCTAATAAAATATATGATATTGATATGCAGAAAAAGTCCCAGCATGATATTCCATGCTTATAGGAAATTTAATCTTGCGGGGAGAGTAGGCTGGAAGTTCGGAGTGATTGTTTCCTCTTATAGGCCAAAAAATTTGTTTGGTTACTTAGTGGTAGCATTTAGAGAGGAAAGTTTACAGAAAACTAGGGTTATTTTGTGATTATGCTTGAATTGTCTTTATTGTTTCCAACGCATCTTTTTTTTTAACTTCTACTTATCAAGGTGTTAGGTTCCATGCCCTTGTGGGCCTTCCCTCTGCCCAAAAAAAGCATGGATGAGCAGAGTCATATCATTAAAATGGCAGTCTTTGTTAGTTTTTCTAGAGAAGATGATCTCTTTGGTAGGCTGGGTATGTCTTCGGCCAATGAGTTATTTATACATATAAACTATTAAGTTGGTAAGTATTTCTCTTTTTTTTTTTGAGATGGAGTTTCACTCTTGTCTCCCAGGCTGGAGTGCAATGGTGCAATCTCAGCTCACTGCAACCTCCACCTCCTGGGTTCAAGCGATTCTTCAGCCTCAGCCTCCCAAGTAGTTGGGATTATAGGCACCCACCACTATGCCTGATTAGTATTTTTTTGTATTTTTAGTAGAGACGGGGTTTCACCACATTGACCAGGCTAGTCTCGAACTCCTGACCTCAGGTGATCCACCCATCTTGGCCTCGCAAAGTGCTGGGATTACAGGCGTGAGCCACCAAGCTTGGCTTAAGTTCGTATTTCTGTGTAAAACTGCAATTTCAACTACATAGGTAACTGTACTCTTTGTGAATGAATCATCGAAGTTATTTAAAAATTCCTTTAAGTAAAAAATATAAAGACCATCCTGGCTAACACAGTGAAACCCCATCTCTACTAAAAAAAATACAAAAACTAGCTGGGCGAGGTGGCGGGCGCCTGTAGTCCCAGCTACTCTGGAGGCTGAGGCAGGAGAATCACGTAAACCCGGGAGGCGGAGCTTGCAGTGAGCTGAGATCCCGTCACTGCACTCCAGCCTGGGCGACAGAGCGAGACTCCGTCTCAAAAAAAAAAAAAAAAAAAAAATATATATATATATATATATATATATAAACATGAACTAGAGCTATATATATCATTGTGAATGAGTCTTAAAGTGTAAGGTTAGACCTCAAAAGCAAGTTATATAAGAATATGTATAGTCTGCTGTTATTTATATACATTTTAAAAACCACTCATACTATGCTGGTGGAGTATAAATTGGTATCCTACCTCTACATGAGTGTGACAGCATTTATTAAAATTAACCTAACAATTCAACTTCTAGGAATTAGTCTATAGATGTACTCATGTGTATGAAATAATGGGTTATTCACTGCCATATTGTTGTAAATTTTTTTTTTTTTTTTTTTTTTGAGACGGAGTCTCGCTCTGTCTCCCAGGCTGGAGTGAGTAGCGCGATCTCGGCTCACTGCAAGCTCCGCCTCCCGGGTTCCCGGCATTCTCCTGCCTCAGCCTCCTGAGCAGCTGGGACTACAGGCGCCGCCACCACGCCCGGCTAATTTTTTGTATTTTTAGTAGAGACGGGGTTTCACCGTGGTCTCGATCTCCTGACCTTGTGATCCGCCCGCCTCAGCCTCCCAAAGTGCTGGGATTACAGGCGTGAGCCACCGCGCCCGGCCTGTTGTAAATATTAATACAAAACTTTGGAAGTAACCTTTCTAATAATGTAATAGTAATGGTTTATCCATGTAGTGAAATACTTTTCAAACATTAAGAAAGAAAAAGGGAGGAACTTTGTATATTTTAGAGAACAATTTCCAGGGTGTATTTTTAAGAGGAAAAAGTAGAACAGTGTGTTTAATATGCCTACCACTTATGTATAAAAGGCAGGGGCAAATCTGTATCTTAAGTGTGACTGCTTTTATATATAGAGTGTGTCTCTTTAAAGATACACACAAGCTTCGTTATGTTAGTTGCTCAATATAGGGGACTAGGTACAGGAGGACACTGTTGCACTGTAGATGCTTTTGTACTTTTGAATTGTGTGTATAGTGCAGGTATTGTGTTATCAAAATATATACAATTACATTTATAAAAAACATGAAAAATAATGTTACTATATTTTTTATGGATTCATAACCATGTGAAAATATATGAACATGGGAAACACAAACATCAAATTCAGGATAGTGGTTACTTCTGAGGACAGATGAAGGATAAGGGAATCTGGGAGGAGTCATGCAGGGCTTGAGTTGTATCTGTAATGTTTTATTGCTTAAGCTGATGGTGGCTCATGGGTATGTGGAATGCCCTTGATGTGCTTGAAATGTTTTGTTTGCTTTCTTAAATTACCACCCATAGCTTTTAAAGCCCGCCCTTCCCCAGGATTAAGCTATTTCCTTAACACGTTTTTATTCTTTCGATTTTAAAGTGGGAATGAAATGGTTAGGCGTCTGGAATATCTTTAGTAGATATTTCTATCTTTGCTGCTTCTCTACCCCATTAAAATCCTCTGTTTCAAAGTATGATCTTGTTTCCCTGCAGGATTATATATCCAATTAGAAGAGCATTTGTTACAATGTTATGCAGTTAGACAAAGTTCCCTTAGATAGCACTAGCATGGTTGTTAGCTAATATTTAGTTGACTAATCTGCTATTCTTGTGAGGAGTGCATTGTGAATGCTGGTAACCTTTGCTCTGAGTAACGTGCAAGTCTTCCATGGCCAAAATGTTTATCTTCCATTTCATTTAAAAGCAAAACCTTAGCACTATTCTAAAAACTAACAGTCTGAAGAGTAAAGTTTGAATTTTGAAAAAGGGGGGAATCCCTTAGTAATGCATATGCCTGACAAAGTCCATTTACTACATTCATTGATTGACTATGGAACAGCATTTAGTTTGGCTACAGCTGAGTTTACTCACTGGGGAGAATATTTAGCCTGGTTTTGAGAAAACAGTTTAGTTTCTGATACCATGTCAAGCCCTTTGTCCCTCTCACTGCACAGTGATGTTGGGGAGAATGGATAGGTCAAAAGGCTTGGAGTCAGAAGACCTGTCCCAACTTGATCACAATAGCTTTACTTCCACAACTTATAGAATGTCTTAGGACCTCAGTTTCTTTATCTGTAAAGGGCAATACCTCCATCGTAGGTTTATGCTCAAATGTGATAATGTGAGTGTCTCCTAAGCTATTAGATGCCATGTTTTAAAAAGTAGTATGCTACTGAAGGCTGGGCGCGGTGGCTTATGCCTGTAATCCCAGCACTTTGGGAGGCCGAGGTGGGCGGATCACGAGGTCAAGATATTGATACCATCCTGGCCAGCATGGTGAAACCCAATCTCTACTAAAACTACAAAAATAGCTGGGCGTGGTGGCATGCGCCTGTTGTCCCAGCTACTTGGCAGGATGAGGCAGGAGAATCGCTTGAACCCGGGAGGTGGAGGTTGCAATGAGCCGAGATTGTGTCATTGCACTCCAGCCTGGCAATAGAGCGAGATTCCATCTCAAAAAAAAAGAAAAAGTATTATGCTACTTAAATTTTAATAGTGAAGTATGTTGGTAACTGGATTCAGGCAAATATTTCTGTTGCTTCGAGTAAGGGAAATGTAACAGATTATAATATGATGGCCTTCAATTACCAAGATTTTGCTGAGATGAAAGAGGGAGGGGAAGAATGGGTAACGTGGAGGGGATATTGCCCACCCTAAATGAGAACATTTTAGAGTCATCAGTGTTGGGATATTATTTCAGACTCTTAGAGGAAAAAATTTGTATCAAATTAAAATCGGGAATAATCATGTTATGCAAAATTTACGAGGTTTCTTTAGGACTTCTCAGAGCTTTAACGTGTTAATAAGCATAGTGAGTGTACGAAAGGGACTCACTGTGCTTATTATTAACACATTAAATAATAAATGTGACTGGGCGTGGTGGGTCATGCCTATAATCCCAGCACTTTGGGAGGCCGAGGCGGGCGGATAACAAGGTCAGGAGTTTGAGACTAGCCTGGGCAATATGGTGAAACCCTGTCTCTATTAAAAATACAAAAATTACTCAGGCATGGTGGCGGGCCCCTTTAGCCGTAGCTACTCTGGAGCCTGAGGTAGGAGAATCGCTTGAACTCGGGAGGCGGAGGTTGCAGTGAGCCGAGATCGCACCACTGCACTCCAGCCTGGGCGATAGAGTGAGACTCCATCTTAAAAAAAAAAAAGGTTATTTCCTACCAAATGGAAATATAGGAAATATACATCCTTTCCCAGACATACTTGATTATGCAATCTTTTTCCCTGGAGAGTCTTCAGTTCTAGTGTGTTGTAGAGCGTACTTTAGAAAATTTATTCTAATAGTTTTCGTTTTATTATTTTTCTAGCCCATAGAAAATTAGAATCCCCACGGAGAACATTGGAGAGGGGATTTAAGAGTAGAATCCTGGGCTGGGCACAGTGGGAGGTGAGTGGATCACAAGGTCAGGAGATCGAGACCTCCCTGGCCCACATGGTGAGACCCCATCTCTAGTAAAAATACAAAATTAGCTGGGCGTGGCACATTCCCGTAGTCCCAGCTACTCAGGAGGCTGAGGCAGGAGAATCACTTGAATCCGGGAGGCACAGGTTGCAGTGAGCTGAGATTGCACCACTGCACTCCAGCCTAGTGATAGAGTGAGACTCTATCTCAACAAAAAAAAAAAAGGAAAAAGAAAAAGAGTTGATTCCTGATAGGCTATAAAGGCTGGGATACAAATTCAAAAAGCAGAAAACCACAGGAGCTGGAACATTCTAGGCTGGGAGCAAAAAACCCTATGCCACTAAATAACTCCCACTGTTGTCACTGTGTGAGGGTATAAGGAGCAGTTGATACTCATAAGTTAACATTTGCTTGGTTCCCAGTCTTCATGTACAGTGTGTTCCATTAATATTTTCAAAAAATATTACTTTTGTTAACTTGTTAATTTTAATGGTGAATATCATATTTCAGAAAATCCACCCTCCTTTTCTTGTCAGGGACTGACTGTGTGGTCCTGCTCCCTGTTATGTATGGAGGCAGAGGGAAAGGGGCTCTGGCCCCCTCAACATCATGACTTTGGTGCCAGCCGGTTCTGTCCTCAGTTGCCTGGATACTGAACTTCTCTGAGCAGGGCAGAACTGAGATCCAGTGGGCTGCTCCTGAGGATGCTTACGCTTTCTCATTTGATTTCAGGTCTCCTCTTTTGCTTCCCATTGCAACCAATAAAGGCCATTCCTACCATAAAGAAATAAAAAAGAAAATCTATCTTTAATGAATAAATAACAACTGTATATATTTATGGGGCACAATGTGATGTTTTGATACATGTATACATACATTCTACACTGATCAAATCAGGCCAAGTAGTATATCCATCTCCTCAAATATTTATCATTACTTTGTGGTGAGAACATTTAAAGTTCCCTTTTTTAACTCTTTTGAAAAATTAATATATTAACTGTAATCATGATGCTATGCAATACAACACCAGGATCCTGTTCCCTTAATTTTATGTAGCCATTGACCAATATCTTCCTTTTCCCCTCCAGCCCCACTTACCCCAGCTACTGGTAATCACCATTCTACTCTCTACTTCTGTGAGTTTGCCTTTTTAGATTCCAAATATAAGTGAGTCTTAGACACCTCTGACATACTGATTTCAATTCCTTTGGATTTATACTCAGTAATGGGATTGCTGGATCATATAGTAATTCTATTTTTAGTTTTGTGAGGAACCTCTATATTGTTTTACAAAATGGCTGTATTTATAGTTCCACCAACAGTGTATAAGTGTTCCATTTCTCTGTGTCCTTGTGAATACTTATCTTTCATCTTTTTGATAATAGCCAGTCTAACAGGTGTGAGGCGATACCTTATTGTGGCTTTAATTTGCATTTCTCTTACGATTAGAGATGTTCAGCATTTTTTTCATCTATCTGTTGGCCATTTATTTGTCTTTTTTATTTTTTATTTTTATTTTTTAGACAGTGTCTCACTCTGTTGCCCAGGCTGGAGTGCAGTGGCATGATCATGGCTCACTGCAACCTTGATCTCCTGGGCTCAAGCGATCCTCCCACCTCTGCTGGGACTACAGGCATACACCACCACACCTGGCTAATTTATGTATGTTTTATAGAGACAGGGTCTCACCATGTTGCTTAGACTGGTCTTGTACTCCTGGGCTCAAGCAGTCCACCCGCCTCAGCCTCCCAAAGTGCTGAGATTATAGGCATGAGCCACTGTGCCTGGCTGGATATTAGCTATATATCTGATGCTTTATTTGTAAATATGTTTTCTCAGTCTTTAGTTTGTCTCTTCACTCTATTTGTTCTTGTTTATTTGTGATTTTTTTTTTTTTTTTTTTTTTTGAGATGGAGTCTTGCTCTGTCGCCCAGGCTGGAGTGCAATCGGCTCACAGCAACTTCTGCCTCCCTGGTTCAAGTGATTCTCCTGCCTCAGCCTCATGAGTAGTTGGGACTATAGGTGTGCACCGCTACGCTCAGCTAATTTTGTATTTTTAATAGAGACGGTGCTTCACCATGTTGGTCAGGCTGGTCTCGAACTCCTGACCTTCTGATCCGCCTGCCACAGCCTGCCAAAGTGTTGGGATTACAGGCGTAAACCACCGCGCCCAGCCTGTTTGTTTGTTTTTTGCTGTACAGAAGCTTTTTAGTTTGATGTCATACCATTTGTTTATTATTGCTTTTGTTGCCTGTGCATTAGGGGGTCATATCCAAGAAATAATTGTCCACCCCTGTGTCATGGAGCTTCTCGTCTAAGTTTTCTTCTAGTAGGTTTATAATTTCAGGTCTTAAATTTAATCCATTTTAAGTTGATACTTGTTAAGGGGTGAGATAAGGGTCCATTTCCATTCTTCTGTATGCGGCTACCCAGTTTTTCAAATAACATTATTGAAGAGACTGTCCTTTCCCCATTGTGTAGTCTTGGCACCTTTGTCAAAAATCCATTGACTGTAGATATATGCGTTTATTCTGGGCTGTTCATCCTATTCCATTGGTTGACATGTCTGTTTTTATGTCAGTGCCATGCTGTTTTAATTACTATAGGTTTGTAATATATTTTCAGACATGGTAGTGTGATGCCTCCAGCTTTGTTCTCTTTGGACCTCAAGTCTATTTTGTCTGAAATAAGTATCGCTACCTCTGTTCTCTTTCTGTTTGCATTTGTATGGAATATCTTTTTCAGTCCCTTCATTTTCAGTCTATGAGGTCTGTGAGTGTCCTTTATAGTGAAGTGAGTCTCTATTATAGGCAGCGTAGAGTTGGGTCTTGTTTTTTATCCATTTAGCCACTCTATGCCTATTGTTTGGAGAATTTTATTTAAAATCAAAGTAATTATTGATAGGTAAGGACTTAGTAGTGCCATTTTGTTAATTGTTTTCTAGTTTTTCTGTAGAACCTTTGTTCCTTTCACGATTACTTTCCCCCTTTGTGGCTCGATAGCTTTCTGTAGTGGTTCGCTTTGGAGTTTTTCTTTTTATCTTTTGCAAAAGCAAAGGCTTTTGCTTTGTAGTTACCCTGTGGCTTACATAAAACATCTTATAACTGGTATATAAGCTGGTAACAAGTTAACTTTGATCACATACACAAATTCTGTTTTTACTCTCCCTCCTCCATGTTTTATGTTCATGATGTCACAATATACATTTTAAAAATAATTTGTATCTTTAACAGATTATTGTAGCTTTATTATTTTTTTGAGACGGAGTTTCACTCTTGCTGCCCAGGCCAGAGTGCAACGGCGCGATCTTGGCTCACCCCAGCCTCCGCCTCCCAGGGGTTCAAGTTATTCTCCTGCCTCAGCCTTGTGAGTAGCTGGGATTACAGGCACGCGCCACCACCTCCGGCTAATTTTGTATTTTTAGTAGAGACAGGGTTTCTCCATGTTGGTCAGGCTGGTCTCAAACTCCCAGCCTCAGGTGATCCACCTGCTTCGGCCTCCCAAAGTGCTGCGATTATAGGTGTGAGCCACTGTGCCTGGCCAGCTTTAACTATTCTTAGTAGTTTTCTCTTTTAACCTTTATATTAGATATATAATTGATTTACTCACCACTATTACAGTATTATTGTGTTTTGGGTTTGACAGTATACTTACTTTTTCCATTGAGTTTTATACTTTTCATGTATTTTCTTGTTACTCATTAGTGTCCTCTTTCTTCAGCTTAAAGAACTTCCTTTACCATTTCTTTTTCTGTTTCTTTTTGTTTGTTTGTTTGAGATGAAGTCTCACTTTGTTGCCCAGGCCAGAGTGTAGTGGCGAGATCTCGGCTCACTGCAACCTCTGCCTGCTCTTTTCAAGCGATCCTCCCACCTCAGCCTCCCAAGTAGCTAGGATTACAGGCGTACACCATGACTCACAACTAATTTTTTGTGTGTGTGTGTTTTTAGTAGAGACAGGGTTTCACTATGTTGGCCAGGCCTGTTTTGAACTCTTAACCTCAAGTGCTCCGCCTGCCTTGGCCTCCCAAGGTGCTGGGATTACAGGCGGGAGCCACCATGCCTGACCACTGTTTTTCATTCTTTATCCTTTTCTTCCTCAAGTCGTATGATTTCCAGTGGCCTGTCTTCTAATTACTAATCGTTTCTTCTGCTTGATGTAGCCTGCAGTTGAACCCCTTGATTGAATTTTTCAGTTCAGTTACACTATTCTTCAGCTCTGTGATTATGTACTTCTTTAGAAAATCCACTTTTCAACTGATAAACTAACTATATCCGTTTCTAGGGTTGCAGTAACAGTGCCACAGATTCAATGACTTACAGCAACAGAAAATTATTCTTTGCCAGTGTTGGAGGTCAGAAATTTGAAATCAAATGGCCATCAGGGCCATGTTTCTTCTGAAGGCTCTAGTAGAGAATCTGTTCCTTGCCTCTTCCAGCTGCTGCTGCTTTTTTTTTTTTTTTTTTCCTTGAGACGGAGTCTCATTCTGTCACCCAGAATAGAGTGCAGTGGCGTGATCTCATTTCACTGCAATCTCCTCCTCCTGGATTCAACAAGTGATTCTCCTGCCTCAGTCTCCCAAGTAGCTGGGACTACAGGCGCGTTCTGCCACACCTGGGTAATTTTTGTATTTTTAGTAGAGATGGGGTTTCGCCATGTTGGCCAGGCTGGTCTCGAACTCCTGACCTCAAGTGATCCACCCGCCTCGGCCTACCAAAGTGCTGGGATTACAGGCGTGAACCACCATGCCCGGCCCTCTTCCAGCTTCTTGTGGCTCCTGATGTTCTTTGGTTTGTAATAGCATAACTCCAGTCTCTGCCTCTGTCTTCACATGGCTGCGCTCTCTTGCTTGCTAGCTAGTTCGCTCGCTCGCTCTCTCTGTGTGTGTGTTCTCTCCTCTTCTTGTAAGGATACCAGGCATTTAGATATAGGGCTCACTCTAAATCCAGTAAGATTTCATCTTCAAATCCTTCACTAACCACATCTGTAAAGATCCTATTTCCAAATAATATAACAATCAGAGATTCTGGGTTGACATGGATTTTGTGGGGACGTTATTCACTTCACTACACTTGTTTTTATATTTTGTATGCTTTTAGTTTTATGCTTTCTTTCTTAGTTTTTGAGTAACTTTTAAATTGGTTTGATAGAATGTATTAATAAAATGTCTGTGGGCTGGGCACGGTGGCTCATGCCTGTAATCCCAGCACTTTGGGAGGCTGAGTGGGGGGCAGATCACCTGAGGTCAGGAGTTCAAGACCAGCCTGACCAACATGGTGAAACCCCATCTCTACTAAACATACAAAAATTAGCTGGGCGAGGTGGTAGGTGCCTGTAATCCCAGCTACTTGGGAGGCTGAGATAGGAGAATCGCTTGAACCCAAGAGGCGGAGGTTGCAGTGAGCCGAGATCACGCCATTGCACTCCAGCCTGGGCAACAAGAGCTAAACTCCATCTTAAAAAATAAATAAAATAAAATAAAATAAAATGTCTGTGGAATCCTAAGACATTGAAATTGATATGAGGCAGGTTTTCAGTACACTAGATTCATGTTCTGATACAGGAAGGAGGTCATAGTAGCAGTGCCTGGAACATAGTAGGAGTACCAACTGGTACTCACATATTTCTTGAATGAGTGAATTTGTATGATTGAATGCATTTTTGGGTAATTCTTATTAGTACGGGGAATTCAGTCTGTTCTTTTCAAAACTGTGTATACATTAAGAATTTCTCTGATATGTTTAACTTCCATTTATGTTTTATTGAAAGGATGTGTATGTTTACATGTCTTTCTGAGGATTATCTTTTTAAAAAATTATCAAATTTCACTTACCATGTTTGGAAAAAGCTAACTTTTCGAGTTTGACCTGGGTTGAAGTTTTGGCTTTTCCATTCATTAGCTGTGTAACTTTGGGCAAGTTATTTCATCTTTCTGCACCTCAGTTTCCTGTAAAATGTTGCTACTGCCAGATCTTCCAGTTTGGTAAGAGTGTGTCAGTATGTTTGGGTACAAAGTGAGTATGGTACAAATATTAACTAGTAAGTTGTATACCTTAATTATGTATTGTAATGGAACTAGATTTTTGTTGTAAAAAATTGTTTTTGAAAAAAAAAAAAACCCTTGTTTATTAAAACTCACATCAAATTAAGTTGCTGTTTTCCTCTGTGTTCTTCTGTGACCAAACAAGTGTTCCTGTAGTAGGTGAAATCACTGTCAAGGATTGGTGTTATGTGTATATATGTCTGATAGTAATCTGTTGAACATTAACCAAAGTCAGGAAATGAGTTGAACTTTGGAAGGTAGAAATCTGAGGATTGATGGTAGTGGTGGTGGGGTAGGGGTGGTGGAGCAGGTTGGAGGGATTGAAGTATATGGGAATGGGAGCTAGATACATTAAAATGACAGCTATTATTTATTTAGCACTTATGTACCTGGATAAAGGAATGCTATTGCATCTAATGGATAGGGAGCACCAGTCAGAGCTGAGATAAAACTGGCTATTCAGAGATTAAAACAAATAATTCAGGGCTGATTAGATAAAGATGGGGGAACAGGTCTGGGAGCAGTGGAAAATAAATAACCCTAAATAATAATAGCTACCATTTATCAATCACTTCCTATGTGCCAGGCATTGTGTAAAGTGCTTTACAAACACTATTTCATGTATTTATTATAGTCACCCTTATGGAGTATGTGGTATTCTTATTTTACAGATGAGTAAATAGAAGGTTGAAGTTTTTTTAACTTGCCCAAGTCAAACGTCTAGTAAGTACCTTCAAACAGGAATAAAACCGAGGTCTGTGTGACTATAAAATCTATGCTTTGTATACATATTGCTTTCATATTGTGCAACTAGAATGAGGGGTTCAACCCTATTCAGCTCTACTCCCAAAAAAGGTGAATCTGCTAATACTACTTGTAATTGTTTTTTTCCCCTCTTTGGAAAATATTTTTATTTATTTATTTTTTGAGATGGAGTCTTGCTCTTTTGCCCAGGCTGGAGTGCGGTGGCATGATCTCCACTCACTGCAACCTCTGCCTCTCAGGTTCAAGTGTTTCTCCTGCCTCAGCCTCCTAAGTAGCTGGGATTACAGGTACATGCCAATACACCTGGCTAATTTTTTTTGTATTTTTAGTAGAGATGGGGTTTCACCATGTTGACCAAACTGGTCTCAAACTCCTGACCTTGTGATCCGCCCACCTCGTCCTCCCAAAGTGCTCGGATTACAGGCTTGAGCTACCACGCCCGGCCTTGGAAATTTTTTTTCTAACTGGTAAGAATACAAAATAGCAAGTAAAATTAAAAAAGGATCACAGTGGAATAACTATTTTCATTTTAGCGTATTACCATTTTTATATAAATTTTTTTGTGTAGCTAAAAAATGTAAAGTGCATATATAACTTGTTTTTCATGTTTATAAGAACATTTTCTATAGTTTTCCTATGAGAGTCTGTTAGGTTGGAATAACAGTGTATTAAACTGTTCTCTGAAATTGGTCAGCCTTTTGTTCTTACATAATACGCTGTCATGAACATATTTATGCACATTTTTTCATCGACTTTTAAATCAAATTCTTGGAAAACTACAGATGAAAAAAAAAGATCCTGATCATGTAATTTGTGTGTGTGTTTATGAATTTGAATGGTCTCTTGACATTGCTGTCAGGGCACTGCCCCTTTTCCTGCCACTGTGATACAATCATACTTTTGTTATTTCTTCTATTACTTCAAAAGGGAAGAAGTTATACCACCATACTTTAAAACAATTAATTTATAATTTGATGAAATGCTCAAATATTAGAAAAAAGTTTTATGGTATATCTTGATTGGTTATGGATTTTGTTCTGTTTATTATGCCTTTTGGGTGGTTGGGGGGCTTCTGTTATTTACAGGTGGGTTAATATTCTGCTCCTTATTACTCGTGAGTTAAATTATACTCAATTCCCTATTCCATAGTTACCACATTCCCTCCTATTTTTGCTAATTTCCTCCTCATTTTTTGTTATGTGTTCTATAAAATTTCCCATCACATTATTACTGCTACAACCTACTGTTTTCTACATGATTTTAATTGTATTGTTGTAAAATTCTTCTTGCTCTGCTCTGATTTCATACCTCCTATATTTTCTTATCACTCTGAAAATAGTTACACATTTTGCTAGTACAATCAATGCATTTCATAGATGAGTTTAATGTCTATTCTTTTTTTGTTTTATTCTTTTGTATTATAAGACTTTTTGCTTTTTCGTACTTTACTGTTATTTTTTTCATCATTACAGGCCGGGAAGGTCCCATAGCCCAGGTTGCTTTTGGTCAATACTGTTTTCCCCAGCAGCATTAACTGGCATGTAGGAGATGCTCAGTACATAATGCCAAAATAATGAATTTAAGAGAATGCTTTGAATTCTGATTCCAGTTCCTTATTAAATGACAGAATATATGTCCAGAGTTTTGGATAAGCTCCAATTGTTTCTTTTTTTTTTTTTTTTGAGACGGAGTCTCGCTCTGTCGCCCAGGCTGGAGTGCAGTGGCCGGATCTCAGCTCACTGCAAGCTCCGCCTCCCGGGTTCCCGCCATTCTCCTGCCTCAGCCTCCCGAGTAGCTGGGACCACAGGCGCCGCCACCTCGCCCGGCTAATTTTTTTTGTGTTTTTAGTAGAGACGGGGTTTCGCCGTGTTAGCCAGGATGGTCTCGATCTCCTGACCTTGTGATCCGCCCGTCTCGGCCTCCCAAAGTGCTGGGATTACAGGCTTGAGCCACCACGCCCGGCCTCCAATTGTTTCTTAAAGTTAATTGAGGTTGAAATTCAGTTGAGCAGGGTATCATAGGAGTTTGGTTGGTTTGTGATGGTTTGGGAGTTCAGGCCCAAATGGATTCTGTCTTAGTATTCGTTCCAAGTCTGAGTCCACCAGTATTATCCAGTACTGTGGGTATTTCCCAGTCTTGTTTCAGCTGAGCAGCTATCAAGAGAAAGTCTGTGCCAAGCCAGAGCTTGGAGATTATTGGCGGATGTGTTTAGCACCATGCTTCGGTTTCAGCCTACTTGTTCTAAGAAAGAAGGTACTTCCTGAAGCAAGCTTTAACAGTCAAATTGGCTGCTCTTAATCACATCTAATTAGTACTGGAGATTGGAGAACGTCTTACTAGAAAGCAAAATGTGCTTCATTTTCACAGTTGATTTCAGCTGTGATTATAGGGTTGCCCTCCTTCTTTATCTTGTACATTTCATACTAGACCCCCATCCTTCTAATATAGTTATATCATACTTTTAAAAAACCTATATTTAGTTTTTCATAATTGTGGCTGTGTAAACACTATTTGCTAAGTCAGTATCTATGACTATGTTTTATTTCTTAGAGAACTTTAATTTTTACTGGCATTCATGAATTATCTCATTTTTTTCATTTAATTTTTTTTAACCTAAGGCTTAATTTCTCACATCTTCCAGTGCCTTTGTAAAATTTCTCAATATGATATTCCATATGTCTAAACTTGTTAGATTATCTCTCCTCCTACCCCCAGAAATAACTATTTTGGATTCTTTGTCACATTCCTATCTGGATTTGTTGCCTTCTAGGCCTTCTCCATATATGTTACTGTGACTTTGCTTCACCATTTTGAGATTCTCTTAGTTTTTCTACTATATTGGATCCCTTCTTTACTGGATTCCATGCCATCTTTCTTGGGTTTCTTCCTCATTTTGATGGAATATATATTCTCCAGTAGGTTCCTGAGAAAGAGTGCACAAAGGTTAAATTTTTGGAGACTTAGCCTCATGACTGTCTAAATTCTACTGATGCTGATCATAACACCAAAAGACACAATCCCTAATGCCATAATCCCAAATGTTGAAATACTGAAAGATCAAAATCTCCAAACATCAGAATCCCTAAATTCTAAAAATCTCACACATCTGAAATCCTGAAAATCATAATCGTGAAATATTAAAATCCCAAATGTTGAAATGCCGCAAGCCAACACCTGGGGTAGAAATTAGTGCATATTCGGTTGTATGAAAGATAGTTGCATCACTTTACTTGCATCATGTTAGGTGGAACGGATTGCCTTTTTATTGTATTTATTTGGAAATTAAGTATGGTTTAAGGAATTGGTTTATAGGTGTCAAATTGAGGGGTGGATTCATGAATTTAATTTTAAGTATCAGCTTGACTGGATTAAGGAATACTTAGAAACCTGTTAAAGCATTATTTTGGGTTTGTGAGGAGATTAGCATGTGAGTCTGAGTGGACTAGGTGGGGAAGATCTACCCTCAATGTTGGTAGCCACCATTAAATCTGCTGGGGGCCCAGAGAGAACAAATTGTTGCCTTTCTGAGAGCTGGAACAGACTTTTCTTCTGCTGAATTGGACATCAGAACTCCAGGCTTGTTGGTCTTTGGACTCTAGGACATAACAGCAGCAGCCCCTTGGGTCCTGGTCTTTCAGCCTCAGACTGAGACCTGGTTTGGCTTGGTTCTGAGGTCTTTAGATTGAGCCAAGCTACCAGCATGCCAGGGTCTCTCCAGCTTGAAAATGGCCTGTTGTGGAACTTATCAGCCACTATAATCACATGAGCCAATTCCCCTAATAAATCATCTCTCATATATCTACGTATATATACATCTTATTGGTTATGTCTCTCTGGAGAATGCTGACTAATACAGATTTGGTATTGAGAAAGCCAAATATCATTCCTTCTTACTGTATTCCTTATAGCACAATGGAAGAGACCCGTGAAATTGTTCCCTTGCAAAAAGTCTGTGATAAATTAAGTATACTAGGCTACTTAATGGTGAAAGAGAAAAGTTTAAAAGCTAATTATTATTGGTGTTGTGAAAACAGAAAATCACTTAATTATAATGACCAAGCAATAATTTCCAAATGGTCAGCATATACTTACAAAATATTTAGGCCACAACTGCTCTAGTCTAAACACAAGTGAATGTTTTGAAGATCACAGAAGTGAATATGCAAGTGAAAAATATAAGAAAGCTCCCCTGCCAAATTATTCAATCAGGTATGACTTCTGCCCTTTCACACATAGTGCCAATTTGCTATGCTATGTATTTTATCTTTGCCTCATGTCTAATACTGAAGGTATAAATTTTGTAAAGGCTTTTAGAGAATTCTAACTCATTTTATGCACTTTTTTTTTGCATATTTGACTCCATGAAAGTGCATTATCATGATGTGATTTAATGTGTAAGCATTGTGCATGTACATAAAAATGTTGAAACTTGCTCAGTAAATGAAGAGATGTCCATTTTGTTCATCTGTATTTGTGAAAGATAAAATTTCTCAAGATCTTGGCTCTTTGGGTGACTCTATTGCGGTTTTTGTGCAAGTGGTAGTGACCCATTGCAGTTTTTGATTGATCTTGTCAGAAGATTCAGGTTGTCTGGTATGTCAGATGACCGCAGTTATGAATCTGGGTGCACCTGATTACCAACCATAGTGATATGTGTTTATCCATTTTGCTTTTAATCTATTTCTTCATGAATACAGTTTATCTGTTCCTATTATACCCATGTAATGGTTGTTAGTATACCTGAGTATTTATGATTGCAAAAATAGGTTATTAGTGCTTATTTTATTGTGTAAAGGGGCCTATGAACTATCCCATTGTGTTTTTATGTTTCTCAAATAAATCTTTTAAAAATCGAAATAAGTGTCTCTTAGATAATTTTCTACAAATTATTTTTCCACAATTCTGTTTTTAGGATTTTGTTCTTTTGGGATTGTGATTTTTGGAATTTTAGATTTTAGGGATTAAAAATGGAAATAAGTGTCTTTTAGATAACTTTCTACAAATTATTTTTCCGGACTTCTGTTTTTAGGATTTTGTTCTTTTGGGATTGTGATTTTTAGAATTTTAGATTTCAGGGATTTTGATCTTTTGGGATTTCAACATTTGGGATTATGGCATTTGGGATTGTGTCTTTTGGGATTATGTCCTAAACCCAAATTCTGTCACCACTGACTGTCTAGTGATAGCATTTAAAATGGAAAGACAAAATGACTTGATTTTTTTTTCCCTTTATTTTTAACTGCATTTTAAAAAATAAAGACTGGGCATGGTGGCTCACACGTGTAATCCTAGCAGTTTGGGAAGTTGAGGCTGGTGGATTGCTTGAACCCAGGAGTTTGAGACCATCCTAGTCAATAGGGTGAAACCTGATTTCTACAGAAAAATACAAAAAAATTAGCTGGGTGTGGTGGGGTCTGCCTGTAGTCCCAGCTACTTGGGAGGCTGAGATGGGAGGATCACCTGAGCCTGGGGAGGTTAAGGCTGTATTGAGCTGTGATTGTGATACTGCACTCCACCCTGGGTGATAAGAGTGACACTCTGTCTCAAAAAAAAAATAAATAAATAAAAAATAAATTAAAAAACAGAAAAAAAAAATAAAAATAGAGAAACCAAAAAAACTAGAAACCACATGCACATGAACCAGAATTTCAAAGGTATAAGAGGTTATGGATGGGGAAATGTATCTATGGCATGAGAGTCTTTTGGGATGATGGAACTGTTCTGTATCTGACTATATAATGCTGGTTACACCAATTTCTATATGTTTTAATATCCATATAAATGATACTATAAGAAAAATTTCAGTCTATATGTATGATAGGTTAAAAGGTGAAAAATTAAAAGAATTTAAAAATACAAAAAGGTGGGCCGGGCGCGGTGGCTCAAGCCTGTAATCCCAGCACTTTGGGAGGCCGAGACGGGCGGATCACGAGGTCAGGAGATTGAGACCATCCTGGCTAACACGGTGAAACCCAGTCTCTACTAAAAAATACAAAAAACTAGCCGGGCGAGGTGGCGGGTGCCTGGAATCCCAGCTACTCGGGAGGCTGAGGCAGGAGAATGGCGTAAACCCGGGAGGCGGAGCTTGCAGTGAGCCGAGATCCGGCCACTGCACTCCACCCTGGGCGACAGAGCCAGACTCCGTCTCAAAAAAAAAAAAAAAAAAAAATACAAAAAGGTATACAGCGAAAAAGAAATCTCCTTTCTTCCTCTCTTCCTTTAGTCTTCCAGCTTTATTTTCTGGAAGAAACCACTGTTACCAATTTCTTATGTATTCTCCTACGTAATCACTCTTAAACATCTGAACATTTGGGATGAATCTGGCAAAAGAGAAAAGAACTTACATTTGCTTAGCTATTTTCTGAGAATGCTAGATAACTACTCTTATAATACGTCTAAATATATTATGACTTTTGTTTTGTTGAGACAGCATCTCAATCATCACCCCAGGCTGGAGTGCAGTGGTGCGATCTGGGCTCACTGCAACCTCTGCCTCCCGGGTTCAAGTGATTCTCCTGCTTCACCTCCCAAGTAGCTGGGATTACAGGCATGTGCCACCACACCCAGCTAATTTTTGTTATTTGTTTGTTTGAGACAGAGTTTTGCTCTTGTTGCCCAAGCTGGAGTGCAATGGCATGATCTCGGCTCACTGCAACTTCCGCCTCCCAGGTTCAAGCGATTCTCCTGCCTCAGCCTCCTGAGTAGCTGGGATTACAGCTGCGCGCCAGCACGTGCCACCAAATTTTTGTGTTTTTAGTAGAAACGGGGTTTCACCATGTTAGCCAGGCTGGTCTCGAACTCCTTATCTCAGGTGATCTGCCCGCCTTGGCCTCCCAAAGTGCTGGGATTACAGGCATAAGCCACCATGCCCAGCCATTAATTTTTGTATTTTTTAGTAGAGATGGGGTTTTGCCATGTTGGCCAGACTGGTTTCGAACTCCTGACTTCAAGTCATCTACCTGCCTTGGCCTCCCAAAGTGCTGGGATTACAGGTGTGAACCACTGCACCCGGCCAGAATATATGTAAATATATTATTAATCATAGTACTAATTTATTAAAACTACTTCTTTTACAGTTGGCAAACATGAATTGACTGGGCATAAAGTTGCTGTGAAGATACTCAATCGACAGAAGATTCGGAGCCTTGATGTGGTAGGAAAAATCCGCAGAGAAATTCAGAACCTCAAGCTTTTCAGGCATCCTCATATAATTAAACTGTAAGCTCTGTTTATATTAAATATAGTCCAGTTATCTTTTCATCTTTTTTGTTAACCTACTTAATGTGACAAGCGAGAAAAATGAGTGACACTTCTTTTTGTTTCCTGAGGGTTTTGAAAAGTTTCTCCCTAGGTCGTGTGCAGTGGCTCACACCTGTAATTCCAGCACTTTGGAATTACAAAGTGGAGGCTGAGGCAGGCGGATCACCTGAGGTCAGGAGTACGAGACCAGCCTGGCCAACATGGTGAAACCCTGTCTCCACTAAAAATACAAAAATTAGCTGCTCATGGTGGTGGGTGCCTGTCATCCCAGCTACTCGGGAGGCTGAGGCTGGAGAATGGCTTGAACCTGGGAGGTGGAGGTTGCATTGAGCTGAGATCATGCCATTGCACTCCAGCTTGGGCAACAAAAGCGAAACTCTGTCTCGAACAAACAAACAAAAAAAGTTTCTTCCCGTTCATGTATTTTTCTAACCCCACTGATGGTCATTTAAGCCTATGTTCATGTTTTGCCCTTGTGCTTATCAGCTGTTATCTTCTCATTCTTTCCGGTCTTCTGGAAAGATGCCCTTCTGATAATGTTTGGTGCCCCACTGCTTGCTGTAAAACCAACAATGATCTGCTAGTAAAAACTCTTGACCTCCAAATGCCCACATGATGTCAGTTAGCCTCACTAGCGAGAATGCGGTAGTAGAAAGGGTTTTTCCCCATCCTGCTTATACCTGACCATACAGATAACAAAATTTCAGGAATCCAGTATTTCAAAAGGGCAGTAATCTTAGTGTTGTTTTACAGTTGCCAGTTGTAGAGTCTACAAATAACATATTTCCTGCTCAGCTTCTGCTTTGTTATGCAGGCAATAACTTAAAGCTGCTTAGGTTTTTCTGCTGAACTGGCTAACTCAAATTTGTTTCACTCTCACCTCTTCTCATTTGTTGAGTGCTATGGTTTTAAATACCATCCATATGCTGACCACCCCTAAATGGACATCTCTTGCTTTAAGATCTCTTCTTACACCAGACTCATATGTTCACTGCTGACTTTACATTTCCATTTGTATATTCGCGAGGCATTTAAAACTCAACCCGGCCCAAAATGAACTCTTTATTACTCTCCCAAACCTGCTCTTCCCACAGTTTGCACCATCTTGGCTAATAGCCAGTTACCCAGGGCTAAAACTTAGGAACCATTTTTAACTTCCCTGTTTCTTTCACTTTCTTACCATCCATTTCATTTCTTCCTTCACAATCAAGCTAGGATGTGACTGCTTCCCAGTTCCTTTACCACCGTCAACCTGGTCTCAGCCACCTTCATCTGTCTCATGAAATCCTGAAGTAACCTCCTGTGTCTACCTTTACTGTTGACAGTTAATTCTTCACACTGCTGCCATAGTTTTCCTTTTAATATGCCAGATCACATGACTGCTTAAAACGTATGATAGCTTTTCATCTTCCTTGGAGTAAAAGCCAAAGCCTTATCATGGCTTGTAAAATTCCGTGTCCTCTGGCCTGCAGTTAACACCTTTGACTCTACATCCGATTTCTCTCTTAATATTCCTTGAACATGCCAAGCAGGCTTCTACTTGGGGACTTTTGCAGTTGTTATTCCCTCTCCTGGGTTCACTTTCCTCCTAATTACATAATTTGTTCCCATTCTTCTTTTAGGCTCAGCTCAAATGTTACTTTATTAGAGGCCTTCCTTGAGTACTCTGTATACAAAGATTCCCCTCAATTTTTTTTATTTTTCTTCATAGCATGTTCCACCACCTGAGATATTGCTTATTTATTTAGTGTCTGTTTCCTGGTTCCTGGAACATGAACTCCATGAGAGCAGAGAATTTTTGTTTCCTGCAGTTTTTCCAGCTCCTAGCATAGTACCTGGTATACTATAGGTGCTTAGTAAATATTTATTGAATGAATGAATATACGTGTTTTAATATTCGTAGACAATGTTTTCTCTCACCAGGTACCAGGTCATCAGTACACCATCTGATATTTTCATGGTGATGGAATATGTCTCAGGAGGAGAGCTATTTGATTATATCTGTAAGAATGGAAGGGTAAGCTGTTCTGATTTAATTCTTTATGTATTTTGTAACTCCCCTTTATCCTTTACTAGCATCAAAATGTCAGCAAGCAATTTTAAGAGGTCTGTTTAATAACCAGTTCCCTTAGTCATATATTTGTTTAGAATCATAAACTGTTTAGAACTAGAAAGGATCTTCAAGATTATCTCCTTAGCCTGTTTATACAGATGTGGATACTGAGCCTCATGGCTTACATGTTTGCTTACAGTAATGTGATTTATTAATAACAGAATTGGCTTGAGCCCCAGAACTCATAATCCTCAGACTTATGCTTCCAGAGTATACAAACACTTTGTATATGTATCTTAATCCTTACAAAATATATTATTACTTAAAGATCTAGGCCTTGCTAGTCAATTCTAGCCACATTTAAATTGCATTCATGTTTTGGTTTCAGAAATCTGATGTACCTAGAGTAGTAAAAACAGGCTCCATGAAGGAGGTAGGAATTAGATACAAAGAATTTAGAGGTGGCAGGAATTTTACAGGACATTTTGAACACTACCTTAAGTTACAGATACAAAAACTCAACACTGCCCTCTGCCCATACTTTTTCTCATACCCAGGTTATGTGGTATGCAAAAGCCCCTTTGTGGGAGAGCTGTATCTAGCCCTGAAAAGAAAGCTTGTCTCACTCCCAATCTTAAGTTATTTACATTACTCATTAATTTGTTCTATATAGCATGTCTGTTTACTTTCAACAAAATCAAACTTATTAACCAAGTTAATTTTGATTTTACTATTTCTTAATATGATTCATTTCTATTTCAGGTACTCCCCTTCTTTACTCCTGCTTCTCCTTACCAAAACAAACAAACAAACAAAAGTTCTGCCTGGAGAAATGGGAAACAGGCACAATTGATATATTTTTTTCTTATCTTTTCTGTTGTTTATTTCTTGGTTTTACCTTGTGGGTGTTTCTTCATTTTTACCAGTTGAATATTAAAATTTCAGCACCCATATTTTCTATTTCAAAAGTTTCTTATTTTCTGAAATTTTCATTTCTTTAGTCTGCTGTTATTTGCCTCACAGATGTAATAACCTAGTCTGAGGATGGCATTTTAAAACAAGTTTTCCTCCGTTCCATCTTGTTCTGTACCTTCTGTGCTCTCTGCTCCCCATTTTTTTCTGTTCATTTTATTCATTTTTGTCTTTGATGCATGGCCCTTTTTCAGACATTTGGTGATTCTTGGCTGTCCACTAAATATTTAAGAATGAGGTACTAAATGCCAGGCTTATGTGGGTGGAACTTATTGATTGCTGGCTTTTCCCATAGCTTGAATACGTAGGGACTTGTCTATTTTATTACTGTACACCAAATGTTAATAATAACAAATATGTTTTCTTGGATCAGATATTTGCTGTAGAAGAAACCTTCCCATTTCCTTAAAGGCCTTAGCTTAACTGCCAGTGCTGCAGGAGCTGAGTGGGGAAAAGAGATGCAAGTCTCACTAGTTAGTATGTTGACTTTCTTTTAGCCCCCATGTTTTCCTTAGGATGCCTTATCCCTGCCTTGGTGTCCTTGAGAGCAGAGCTGGTTCAGCCTTACTAGAGTAAATTATAGGTCTTATTTCCCAATATGGGTGAGTTTAAAAGCTGCTTTCTTCAAGCACTTGTCCTGTTTTCAGCTCATCTCTCACTTCTACCTTGAGCAGTTCCCTATGTTTCCAATTTCTGAGGCTTCCCAGGGCTTTGTGTGCAGACGTTTATTTTTTCCTGGTTTCTACCCCTGTAGGCTTAGGTTTCAGCTTTCTCTTGTAGGCTTAGTCTTTATTACTGTTCATCTATTGTCCTCCTTGGTGACTCCTCTTGATTACTGCTGTCTCTTTTGTTCTTTTTGTCTTTATATACCTCTTTTATTGCTGATGTCATTTTAGTGATGTTTCAAGAGTTGGAGACAAAAGATTTAATCTGCTATGTTTAATTGGAAATGTATTTTGACTTTTCTAATCTTTCTTGATAGACATCCCTTTCTCCATCCTTTGTAATTGTACTTGTTATGAATACAGTATAATTTTCATTTTCGTAGCCTGCCTAGTTATTTTACTTTTTATATTTTGTTTAATCAAGTTTTCTCCTACTTTTTCATATTTGAACAGATACTCTTTTTTTCCTCCATGAACTTACAAATCTTCTAGAAATAAAAGTACTAGATTGCCAAAGGATTAATATTTTTCTAAACGGTATCTTATAATACTTTCTTTTTTCAAAATAAATTACTGATTTGTCTTTTCTCCCAGATTATCCATGCCCTTTAAGGTGTAAGTCTGGTTTTAGAATGCTAATTTGTGACCTGTGTTAGAGAATTGCATATTGGAGTCCTTCGCTTAAAGGATTTATAGCTTATTTATTAAATATGACTTCTTGGGAGCAGGCACATCCAAGTAATGATTGTCACTTATGTTGAAAAAAGTGATAAGAATATATAGATACATAGAGAAGTTTAAAAAAAATACTTCAGGCTGCATGCAGTGGCACATGCCTGTAATCCTTAGCACTTGGGGATGTTGAGGCGGTAGATGGCCTCAGGAGTTCGAGACCAGCTTGGGCAACATGGCAAAGTCTTGTCTCTATCAGAAATACAAAAATTAGCGGGCTTGGTGGCATGCATCTGTGGTCCCAACTACTTAGGAGGCTCGGGTGGGAGGATTGCTGGAGCCCAGGGAAGTGGAGGTTGCAGTGAGCCGTGATGGCACTACTGAACTCCAGCCTTGATAACAGAATGAGACTGGGTCTCAAAATATAAATTTAAAAACCCAAAACAAACTAAAACAAAAACAAAAAGGTAGTTGCTACATAAGATTTTTTTTTCCAGCAAGCATATTAAACATAAAATGCTATGATATTTTATTAAATTAATTAAGGTATTTCTTGTTAAAATATCTTATATTTTGGGACATATAGCAACATAGTTGCGTGCTGGTTTATGAATAGTGCTTAAATATTACTTCCTCATGGTCTAAAATAGTATCCCCCACCCCACTGTCACTCACTGTACCCATATTTTGCTTTGTTTTTCTTCAAAACAGTATCACTCCTTCAGACTATATTTATTAGTCTATTTTCATCAACTAGATAAGGGCCTTTGTTTTATTCATTGCTGTGTAATGAATGTCTAAAACAATGTATAGCACATTGAAGGTATTTAGTAAATATTTGTTATAAGAATGAAAAATTAAACATTTCCAGCTTATAAAAGAAAATATGCCACATTTCAAGTAGATATTGAAATTATTTGAAATAACTCATGAGATATAGAGGAAGGCAAGCTGTTACAATGTAGTCATATGCAAATGATAATATTAGAAACTTGAGTTACTGATTTGGGTTCCAAGATTATCTTAGCATTTCTGTTTTGTGCTACAGGTATCTCCTCCTCCTGTCAAAAGTATCTCATAAGTTCATTTGGAAGATTTTCATGTATTTTGACAATTTTATATGTTGGAGAATTATATATAGGGCAATTTACTTTGAAAGACACACCTTTAAAATGCCTCTCTACTTTTCTTAGCTGGATGAAAAAGAAAGTCGACGTCTATTCCAACAGATCCTTTCTGGTGTGGATTATTGTCACAGGCATATGGTAGTCCATAGAGATTTGAAACCTGAAAATGTCCTGCTTGATGCACACATGAATGCAAAGATAGCCGATTTTGGTAAGGATAATTTTATAGTTTCTTACGTTCATTTCTAATGTTCTTATAGTTTCAATGAACCTATATAGAATTCTTCAGAAAACTGTAAAAGATGACATAAAGTAATAGACTGAGTATGTCAAAGTATTCTATTTTGTCTATGAACATGCAAAAATAAGAAAAGCTAAGAAATCATCTTTTCTTAGGTTTAAATGCCTTTATTACTATTACTATTATTTTATAGAGACAGAGTTTCGCTTTGTTGCCCAGACTGGAGGGCAGTGACGTGATCATAGCTCAATGCAGCCCCAAACTGCTGGGCCAGGCGACCCTCCTGCCTCAGCCTCCTGAGTAGCTGGGACTGCAGGTCTGCACTACCATGCAAGGCTAACTTTTGTATTTTTGTAGAGACGGGTTCTCACTATGTTGTCCAGGCTTCTCTTGAACTCCTGGCCTCAAGTGATCCTCCTGCCACAGCTTCCCAAAGTATGGGGATTACAGGCATGCACCACTGCACCTGGCTCTTTAAATATCTTTAAAATTAAATTTTAAACAACTTAAGTTGGTAGCATTAGAGAGACTATTCAAAAAGAGAGTATTATTTGTGAAGAGAAGGTAGCAGCTTTATTTCCAGTATGTTCAAAAGAATCAAGTATGGAGAAGAAGGAAAGTGAGTGGGATGAAATTATTTAAAACTTTGAAAGCCAGAAGTGAACTATGTGAATTATAATTATTTAAAGTTATTTAAAACAATTTTTTAATTAAAAAAATTTATTTAAAAATTATTTTAAAATGTTTTAAATGATAGTAAATTATAATTTGTTTAAAGAACATTTTGATTGTTAAAAATGAATTTATTTTGACTGGGCATGATGGCTCACGCTTGTAATCCCAGCATTTTGGGAGGCCAAGGCGGGCGGATCACCTGAGGTCAGGAGTTTGAGACCAGCCTGGCCAACATGGTGAAACCCCGTTTCTACTAAAAATACAAAATTACCCAGGCATGGTGGTGCGCGCCTATAGTCCCAGCTACCTGGGAGGCTGAGGCAGAAGAACTGCTGGAACCCAGGAGGTGGAGGTTGCAGTGAGTCGAGAGTGTGCCACTGTACTCCAGCCTGGGCGACAGAGTGTGACATGGTCTCAAAAAAAAAAAAAAAAAAAAAGTTTGTTTTTTCTGTATTTCCTATATAAATTGCCATTGACCTTACTAAACCTAAGTGAAAAAGGAATCTCTGCACTTCTTTTCTTTTTGTTTTTTTGTTTTTATTTTTTTGAGACGGAGTCTCGCTCTGTCGCCCAGGCCGGGGTGCAGTGGCCAGATCTCAGCTCACTGCAAGCTCCGCCTCCCGGGTTCACGCCATTCTCCTGCCTCAGCCTCCCAAGTAGCTGGGACTACAGGCGCCCGCCACCTCGCCCGGCTAGTTTTTTGTACTTTTCAGTAGAGACGGGGTTTCACCGTATTAACCAGGATGGTCTCGATCTCCTGACCTCGTGATTCGCCCGTCTCGGCCTCCCAAAGTGCTGGGATTACAGGCTTGAGCCACCGCGCCCGGCCGTTACTGCACTTCTTTTCTTTAGGTTGGTTTTAGTTCAAATCAGATAAATTTTTTTTTGTTTGTTTTTTGTTTTGAGACAGAGTCTCACTCTGTCACCCAGGCTGGAGTGCAGTGGTGTGATCTCTGCTCACTTCAGCCTCCGCCTTCCAGGCTCAAGTGATTCTCCCACCTTAGCCTCCCAAGTAGCTGGGACCACAGATGCGTGCCACCACACCCAGCTACATTTTTTTTTTTTTTGTATTTTTGGTAGAGATGGGGCTTCATTATGTTGGCCAGGTGGACTCGAACTCCTGAGCCCAAGTGATCTGCCTGTCTTGGTCTCCCAAAGTGCTGGGGTTACAGGTGTGAGCCACCATGTCTGGCCCAGAGAACATTCTTATAAATATTTTCCTTAGTTTTGACTACATCTGTATATCTATATTTACACCTATATCTACTTAAATGTTTAGATATTAACTGAAAAATGCCAACCAAACCTGAGCTGGTTGTTTTGGTGTTTCTTTCTTTTTTCTTTTCTTTTTTTAATAGTAATTGGCTTAATTATTTGAATTTCTTATTCCTCAGTTGATTATTTTTATAGGGTGCATTTTTGGGGGAGCAACGGTTTCTTTTTGGAGTAAAACTATGAGGGAACTTTGAAATTCAAAATTACTGGCTTTTTTAAAAAAATTTTTTTAAAGAATCAGAACAGGATTAATAGGAACTTTGAATTTTAATCCTTCTATTCATCTGTTATAGATTATTTTCCCTAGTAATTTCTGTATTAATAAAACTTAAACATGCCAAGTTTTTTCTAATAAGCAAAATAACCAACAGCTTAATATTTGCATTAAACTCTAACAGTGCACTAACTTTAAATGTTGAAATAGATTACACATTTTAGGGCATAATGGCAGAATATTTGGCTACAATAGACCATAGGATTTTGTTGAAGCAAATAACAAAATGATGATTTGTCATTTTTAATGCAAACTCAATTTTACTGTTTAATGGGGTTTTAATTTTTGTCTTTGGGAAATCTTTTGAGTAGCTGATTTTGTGCACTTTCAGGTCTTTCAAACATGATGTCAGATGGTGAATTTTTAAGAACAAGTTGTGGCTCACCCAACTATGCTGCACCAGAAGTAATTTCAGGAAGGTAGTATTTGATACCCCACCACCCTCAATACATTTGAAATTGTCTTTTTATCCTAGATTCTGTCAGTCTATAGTGTCATAGTTAATTCTAATGAAAAGAAAGAAAAATAAGGCTTATTCTTAACCACATTTATATGTGAATGAGGGTTAAGGACTACAAGTCAACATTATATTAAAGTTGTTAGAAGAGAGTACATTAATTTTTTTCCCAGGTGGAAGAAATGGAAAGTTTAAAACCTAGGGTGTTTAAAAAGTAGGTAAGACACTGGAAACTTGAATAATGCAAACATATCTAGTAGTTAGAAAAGGATTACTATTTACTTAGAGGAAAAATTAAACATGTAATGTGTAGCTTTCATTTTTTACATAGATGGCATTTTGTAGTACCTTTATGTTTCATGATAAAATGTCTTGGGGAATTGGGCTGAAGTAATCTTTAAACTTCATTTATGTTGAATCTTTGTTCTTTAAACCTTTTAGAGACTGCAATATTATAAGAATTTTAACCTCTCAATTTACTAATTACCAGCATTGAGAACATGAAGATATTTGTATAGTGTCGCTTTTTGAATAGTTTGGAAAACAGGAGAATTTAATATTTTTAAGAGTAACCCTTTGTCCTTCACTATACTACTGAAATTGAAAACAGAAGCTGAAGTTTGCTAGTTTTGTAATGAACTTTTAATAACTTTTCATCCAAACCATGCTTATTTGTGTGAATGTTTCCCATCTTGATTAACTCAGAATGCAGAAATACTGTTTTCTTTCTGTTTTCATAAGCTTGTTGGCCTAGACTGCTCAAAGAAATGAGAGCTGTGTAAAAACATGGCTATGAGTAAGGCAGGAGTACCTAATTTTAGATTTGTCAAGTTTCATCTTTTTTTAAATATTAATGTCAAAAATTCTTTTAAATATTTTTTAAAAATTGTGTTGTCTGTCTTAATTCTTTTAGGAATAAAACAATTCAGGACATGGAGACTGTGGAAAGTGTTATTTAAATTAAAAAAAAGTGTTATAACTGTGCATATATGCAATGGGCTGTTACTGAAATGTAGTTTTTCTAGTTTGGATAAGGTCTTTCTTCAAGCTCTTGGTGTATGAGAACTTTTACTTTCAAAATAATATTTATCGATCAGTTCAGCAATACATAACTTTAAAGAAATCCTTTTCCTGAATCCAAACTTTGAATGGGTGATCTAACTAGTCTGCGGTTAACTACAGTGCACTGCAAATGAGATTTAAAAAATCTGTGAACCAATTTGCCTGGCTTTCTTTCATAGCCTCAGGATCCTTTCACCTTGGTGTAAGGGGTCTTGCGTTATTGGGATTGTGGGTTCAGAGTCCATTACTAAAGAACATTCTCAGTTGATGAAATATCACTTAATCTCTCCTCTGTAACAAAAACTAATGGTTTTAAATTGAATAGTGATATGTTTGTTCAAGGTTTGGCCCTATTGTTAGATCCAATCAGGGCCATAGTAAATAGTAGAACAGAATTTTAGCCATGGTGTGTAATTTACAAAACTTCTTGACTTTTGTTTTCAAAGATAATACTAATGGAATTAACTTTATGTGTAACATGTAGTAGTGGCTATAAAAACCATATTCTGCTTATGAATTCTTTATGAAATATCCATATTTGAAATTTTTGATTAACTGATCCTTAGGTTAAAATGATTCCTTAATCCAATTGTTATTTCCTGTTACAGATTGTATGCAGGCCCAGAGGTAGATATATGGAGCAGTGGGGTTATTCTCTATGCTTTATTATGTGGAACCCTTCCATTTGATGATGACCATGTGCCAACTCTTTTTAAGAAGATATGTGATGGGATCTTCTATACCCCTCAATATTTAAATCCTTCTGTGATTAGCCTTTTGAAACATATGCTGCAGGTGGATCCCATGAAGAGGGCCACAATCAAAGATATCAGGTAATAAAGCAATTTGGAAGTTATCAGATCTAATAGTATCCATGATAAAAGTTATGTGAAAAAAAAGTTGCAGAACAGAATATACAGTATAATCCTGTTTTTATGTGAAAAAAATAGAGTGTAGAGACACATTCATTTTATTTTGTTATTAAAAATACATAGTAAACTGATTACCTTAGGGAAGTAAGAATAGTAAGAGGGAGGGCTTTCACTTTTTACTTACACATCTTTGTTTTGAAATGTTTACAGTGAACATTATATTACTTTTTAAATTAATAAAAAAGCTAATGAAAGGCTGGTGCGGTGGCTCACACTTGTACTTCCAGCACTTTGGGAGGCTGAGGGAAGATCATGTGAGCTCAAGAGTTTGAGACCAGCGTGGGTAACATAGAGAGACTCCATATATATGTATATCTTTTATTTTTATTTATTTATTTTTGAGACAAGGTCTTGCTCTGTCACCCAGGCTGGAGTGCAGTGTTGTGATCATAGCTCACTGTAGCCTGTAACTCCTGGGTCAAGTGATCCTCCCACTTTAGCCTCCCTAGTAGCTGAGAATATAGGCATCCACCATCACGCCTGGCTGCTTTTTGTTGTTGTTTTCTTTTGTTTTTTGTTTTTGTTTGGAGTGACAGGGTCTCGCTATTTTTGCCCAGGCTGGTCTTGAACTTCTGGCCTCAAGTGATCCTTGTGCCTTTCCCTCACAGTGTTGGGATTACAGGTGTGAGCCAGTATGCCTGGCGTTAGGATTAATACTTTTCAGTAGTAAATTTGTGGGTTGCTATTTGATTTCTTATCTCATGAATTATTGTATTTTTTTTTTAATCCCAAGGAATGAGAAAATTTTAATTTAATTGACATATTTTTCCTGGTAGTATACATTGAATTACATGGAAAATTCCTATTTTGTAGGTAAAAGTCAGTATTACCAGTTTCATCTGGTTCAACCTAATAGTTTAAATTAGACAAAAATGATGATGACAAATTTTCTTCTCAAATTTGGGTGAGCCATTTCTGATGAAGACTTAAACAATTTTACTGCAAGCTTTGTTTCTCCTTTTTTTTTTTAACCCCCTATGGAAATTTTGGTCTCTTTTGGTCTTCTAATGGCTAGACTGCACATTTATCTGAGAGGGAAGAAAGAAATCAGATACGGATCTAGGAATAGTAAATACGAAAGCATTAGTGTAATGAAGAAGAAGGAAAGATTATATGTGGAACTTGAAGCTTGATTACTTTCCACTTACTACACATGTTTTAGACTAGCTAAAAAAGAGACCATCAATGGCAGGGCATGATTTTATCACCAAAGGGAAAGGACAAATCATTCTCTAAAATTTATATTTTAAGATATCTAGGTAAGAAATGTTTTTGCTTGTGTTTTACCTATTTTTTTCCAATTAAAATGTAATACATGACAATTAAAGACTTAGAAAAACACCAACAAAAATAGAGAAGAGAATAAAAATTATCTTTAATCCCATGACCCAGAAGATAACCATTGTTCTTTTTTTTTTTTTTTTTTCTCCTCTGGATTTTATTTAGTTTTAGCAAAGTGTTTGACATAGTTCACGTCAAACATATTCTTAAATATATGAAGTTAGGGAATTAGAATAGGAAATCATTCAGGGTATGGCCTTTCCAGTCACATAGAACTGGGTTGTAATCCTGGTTCTGTCACTTACTGTCTTTGTGACCTTGAGCATGTTCATAGATTTTTTTTTTTTAACCTCAGTTCCTTCATTTAAAACAAAGAGATATTATCTTCATGTAATTGTTTCGATGATGAGGGGAGATAATGTATATGAAGTGTTTAGCATAAAACTTAGCATATAGTAAGTACTCAATAGTTGTCTACTATTTTTGTTGTTACATTATTTTCACTTAATATATCAAAAGAGTATTATAATGAAGCTACCTAATATGTTCTCTTTCTAAGCTGGAAATAAGCTGTTCTTTGTCATTGTCATTGTCATTTGTCCCATAACTTTTTCCCCCCATTGCTACATCAGTGCATTCTCTCTCTTAAAACCGGAGGGAGATTGGAGCATTTTCCTCAACATACACAATGAAGTGCGAGCTAGAAGAGGAAAATTTCAGTGCAAAAAGTGACAGTAATACAGTATGAGTATAAATATAAATTAGGTCATATTCTAAATTCCCCAAACTTACTTTCAGTCTCAGCTGTATTCAAAATCATTCTCCTGATCCTGCCTTTTTCTCTCAGGGAACATGAATGGTTTAAACAGGACCTTCCAAAGTATCTCTTTCCTGAGGATCCATCATATAGTTCAACCATGATTGACGATGAAGCCTTAAAAGAAGTATGTGAAAAGTTTGAGTGCTCAGAAGAGGAAGTTCTCAGCTGTCTTTATAACAGAAATCACCAGGATCCTTTGGCAGTTGCATACCATCTCATAATAGATAACAGGAGAATAATGAATGAAGCCAAAGATTTCTATTTGGCGACAAGCCCACCTGATTCTTTTCTTGATGATCATCACCTGTCTCGGCCCCATCCTGAAAGAGTACCATTCTTGGTTGCTGAAACACCAAGGGCACGCCATACCCTTGATGAATTAAATCCGCAGAAATCCAAACACCAAGGTGTAAGGAAAGCAAAATGGCATTTAGGAATTAGAAGTCAAAGTCGTCCAAATGATATTATGGCAGAAGTATGTAGAGCAATTAAACAATTGGATTATGAATGGAAGGTAAGAAAGAGATAACATTTTGATTATTAGCATATTTGGCAAACCCACCGTCTATAAAATGTTTTATAGAAGAATTACTTTTGACTTGGTTTTTGTTATACCATGTGCTAGGTTGTAAACCCATATTATTTGCGTGTACGAAGGAAGAATCCTGTGACAAGCACTTACTCCAAAATGAGTCTACAGTTATACCAGGTGGATAGTAGAACTTATCTACTGGATTTCCGTAGTATTGATGGTATGTACGTCACACAAAACAACATAGATTAGACATTGTTACTAACTTGATATTTTACTCTTTGATTCTTTTGAGGCTTCTTGACTTGTTCCTAGTAATTCAACTGCAAAGGAATAGAAAATGTGACTTCTTGTGCCTTTGCAATATTAACATTTATGAATCTTATTATTGTAGTCTTATAGCATATTGTCCTTTTAAGATTATCATCTTGTAAAATCCTTAAAGCCAGGTGAAGTCTGATCCTAAGGTGATAGTTTTCTGCTGCATTTGTTTTTTTGGTGTAGTTCATTTTGGTAAGATAAATGTTTTATTTAGAAATAAATATTGACTCTTCTGTAAGCTTTTATTTATTATTAAATAAATTTTCAGTTAAGAATGAAGTTACGGCAATTCTTCATCGGCCAATTCAGTTGCATTAAGCTACAGTGTTGAGCATAGGTGTGGTGGCTCATGCCTATAAACAGCCCAGCACTTTGGGAGGCTGAAGTGGGAGGATTGCTTGAGCCCAGGAATTTGAGACCAGCCTTAGCAACATAGTGACACTGTGTCTTTACAAAATATTAAAAAAACAATATATATAGTATCACCTTTGCTTATGGAAGGTTGCATAGAATTATTAGATGAGGTTCACCTATGAAATTTTTTCTTCTTTATAAACTAAAAGATAGTACACACATAGTAGCAGAAAGACACAGGTTTGAGGCATGATATGTTGGCCAAACCAGTTTGTCTGGTTATCCTGAGGTCTATATAGTATGTATCTGCTAACATATACTAATGCAGTCTGAAATCTGAAACACAGAATGTGTTTTATTTTTCTTGTATTTGGATCAAATTTGCAACCTTAGTTTTACTAGTACTGGGGTATACCAGTTGAATGCCCATTTTTGTTTTTGTATTGTGTTCCCAACCTTAGTTGTTCTTTGATTTTTATTCATTGGAATTGTTGCTCTTTTATGAAATACTAAATGAAATATGAAGGGAAAGTGGAAAGTAAAAAGCACTAAGCCGAGCATTGGGAGAGTTGGGTTCTAGACTTACCTTTTTGTTCATTTGTTATCTTGGGCAAGTCACTTCTCTGGTTTTCTTATCAATAAAGTGAGGGGTTGGATGAGATGGTTTCGAGTATACCTTCCAAATTTGAAGTGCATTGATTCTATGATTTTAGTATAGAGGGATTACATTTTATTGCTATAGAATAATATTTATTAATCCCTAGATTGTTGGTTTACTGGGCTCTTAACCTTGGATTGCAGCTGATGAGTAGCTATACTGTACCCAACTTTGATTAGCCATCTTGAGAATACATACTGAATGTAAAAAAGGTGAATAGTTTAATACAGGCTCATTGACTCTATTTTAGAAGGTATTTAGAATAAACGTGCTCTTGATAGCTGGCCAGCAGCCCCACTTAAAGAAGCAAATACAATACTGTTACAAAACTTTTTGGGAGAAGGTCATAGACTATAATAAATTGAAATTCTTTTTACCCAGATGAAATTACAGAAGCCAAATCAGGGACTGCTACTCCACAGAGATCGGGATCAGTTAGCAACTATCGATCTTGCCAAAGGAGTGATTCAGATGCTGAGGCTCAAGGAAAATCCTCAGAAGTTTCTCTTACCTCATCTGTGACCTCACTTGACTCTTCTCCTGTTGACCTAACTCCAAGACCTGGAAGTCACACAATAGAATTTTTTGAGATGTGTGCAAATCTAATTAAAATTCTTGCACAATAAACAGAAAACTTTGCTTATTTCTTTTGTAGCAATAAGCATGCATAATAAGTCATAGCCAAATGCTTCCATTTGTAATCAAGTTATACATAATTATAACTGAGGGCTGGCGTTTTGAAATGCAATTTGCACAGGGATTGGAACATGATTTATAGTTAAAAGCTAATATGCAGAAATGAATTAAGATCATTTTGTTGTTCATTGTGCAGTACGTATATAGCATAATATACACAGTGAATTATAGGTCTCTCAGGCTCACCTGATTTTTGGCTATTTTATATTTAGTGTACACAGGGCTTTGAAAATATTAATTTACATAAAGGCCTTCATATATTATTACATGTTATATATTTGCTTCATAAATTTATTCAATAAATATTTGCCTAGAATTCTCAAGACCTTTATAGGTGATTTTGTTCTCTGGGCTCCTTAACTTCTTAAATAGCTAGTATCTTCCAGCAGTACTAACAGTCTAGATAACTTCTTCCATATCCCTCCCTCTTTGTTTTTTTGAGACAGAGTCTCACTCTGTCACCCAGGCTGGAGTCTCCGCCTCCCGGGTTCAAGTGATTCTCCCGCCTCAGCTTCCTGAGTAGCTGGAACTACAGGCGCGTGCCACCACATCCGGCTAATTTTTTGTATTTTTAGTAGAGACGGGGTTTCACTGTGTTGGCCAGGCTAGTCTCGAACTCCTGACCGCGTGATCCACCACCTTGGCCTCCCAAAGAGGTGGGATTACAGGTGTGAGCCACAGTGCCCGGCCTCCATATCCCCCTTTAAAAATTCTGTAGTGTATGGTAAGTCATATCAGATATCAGATCTAATTTAAATTTTATTTTAGCTTTACAAGTCCAAAAACACAGAATTTATATATTCAGATACTCTAGGACTAATTTTAATCTTAAAATATTCCCACTATATTCTGTACACAAAATGTTCTTTTTTTGTTACAAGAGCTGAGTTGCATATACTGTAAATAAATCATATTATTTTTGCCAATTTCACAGATTCCTCTGGCTCATCATGTCAGTCATTATTGAGTATATGCAAACATTGCTAGTTATTTGATTATGTATCTTTTAAGTTGATTCAGTGCATAGAAAGACTGTCTCTTACAAACTTTAAGTGCTCTGATATGACTTCCCCCCCAAATTTTATTATGAACATTTTAAAAAACAGAAACATCGAAAACCTGTTCAGTAAGCACATGTATATCTACCACTTAGATTCAGCAGTTGTTAATGCTTTGTCATTTGTTTTCTCTATACCTATGTATAGATACAGCTAGTTATGCATATACATGCATATATGTGTGTGTGTGTATATGTATATGTGCTTTTTTTTCCTGAACCATTTGGATGTTACAGACATATCACCGTGAAAATACTTCAAGTATCTCCTACAGATAATGACATTCTCCTAAAAATCCATAATATCATTGTAAAATTAATAATTCCCCAATATCATCTAATCAAGCCATATTTAAATTTCTGAAGTTACCTCCAAATTTCTTTATAGCTGATTATTTCAAACCAGGATCCAATTAAACTTTACATATGACACTTGGTGATAACTCTTTAGTTGGATATAACATTATTATTATTTTGATAAAATGTGGAACAAAGCAATTCTATTAATAAGTGGTCACATTTGTTTTGGGCTTGAAGTACTTTTTAAAGATACTGGATTTTCCTAAGATTTCTGATTTACATTGATATTTTCTTTTTCTCATTCTTAATAATTGCATCACACAATAGATGTAAATGAAGATTTAGTCACCTCAGATAAAATTGGTATCATGTGTATGATAATATTGTATCATTTATATTTGCCTTATGTTAACTTTAAGAAGTTGATTTTTTTGTATTAATCATTTTCCCATTGCAACAGAGCTATATTTTTTCTATTTTAAGAATCATATTTTAGGATTATTTTTGGCAAATACAGTGAGCACTTATGTAACCAGATGATAATGAACTCAAATGTCATGATAGCTTGCATAAATGGTGACTCTAGTAGATTTGACTTAAGCACTTCTAGAATCATGCACTGAATTCAAAAGAAAAATCTTGCTGCTTTTTATCCGGGGCTTGTTCTATTCAACTTCTAATTTGAAAGCTGTACAAAGTAATAGAAGTTCCATTTAAATATGAGTTCAAAACTGTATTTATAACTTGTTATGTAGCCCTCTCTGTAGGGGATTCTAATTTTACTTAGGGTCTCTAAATGCAGCATAATGTTCCTGATGTTAACAGAAGACTGTATTTTTAAAGTTACAAATTTGTATATAGAATTAAGTAATGGCGCTATATAAGCTGTTGTGGGGAGGAGGGAAGAAAAGGAGGAACCAATTAAATAGGACCTTCTAAAAATTGTTAATTTTGTAAACTTTGCTTCTCTTATAAGTTATTGTGATTCAGTTTAGTTACTGCATTTTATTTTGAAAATATTTAAATATTGCACTTCTATAAATAGTATGATAAATGCACAGACAATTGCAGTAAATTCTTTTTTAAGCTAGGATATTTGAAATGACAACCTTTGGTTAAGTGTGTCAAGGTTGCACAGAATTTTCACAATTTTTTTGTTGTTTGCAAATTGTTACTAATATTAAAGAGGGAGGTAAGGGAGGCAATGCAAATGATTTTTAATCTTTTTTTATTATCTTTTCAGCAATTTATATTTTTTGTGACTTTATGCAACCATATTTTTACTTTGTCTTGACAACTGAAAGATGTATAAGGTTTTTTTTTTGCCAGAAATGTACTGTATACATAGTTTTAAATATAACAGATTTTACTGATGTGTAAAAATTTTGCCATTAAAATAATTGATTTCTCACTGAGAGGAACTTTTCTACCAGGTTGGGGCATATGGGAGCTTAATATATCATATCTAATTTAAAATAATTTCAGTGAAATAAACTCCATTGCTTTTACTTAACTTTTTCTTGAGATGCTTTTGTAGTTTTTCAGAGTTTTAGATGATTTTATACAAAATCCTCTGCCCAGCACTGCTCTTTTTGATGTTGTAGTGACACCATTCACATTGAATTACTGCTTGGTAGCCTGTGGCTATATGTGGGAACTCCATGCATCTGTGTTCTGACTGGCACCTTTGGAATGAAAGAAAAGTGTGTGCTGTCCAAATCTTTTTTCCCTTAATTCCTTCCCTCCTCTTCCCACCCATAATAGAAATTTTATTTCCACTGTGAGTTCTGACAAGAATGAAATTCCACATACAACGTAACTGTAAATTGTTGGTAGGTAGAAGTTAATATTTGTGGTTCATGTATATTTTGACCAGAGTATATTTAAGTATACAATTTCAACTTCCTTGATTTAGAAATATGATATAATAAAGAAAAACTTCATTTATAATCTGTTACAATGTACTTATGTTTTTTAACCTCTGGGAAAACTCAGTGGGAAAAAAAAAAAGGCTAAGTATCTGTGCACCTTGCGGTGGCTCACACTTGTAATCCTAGCCCTCTGGGAGGCCGAGGTGGGTGGATCACCTGAGGTCAGGAGTTCAAGACCAGCCTGGTCAACATGGTGAAACCCCATCTCTACTAAAAACACAAAAATTAGCCAGTGTGGTGGCGGGCGCCTGTAGTCCCACCTACTTGGGAGGCTAAGGCACGAGAATCACTTGAACCTGGGAGGTGGAGGTTGCAATGGGCTGAGATCGTGCCACTGCACTACCAGTCTGGGTGACAGAGCGAGACTCTGTCTCAAAAAAACCCCACCAAAACAACAACAAAATGTACCTAGAAATATAAAATATAGTGCCTGACCACATTTAAGTTCTCAAACATTGTGATTTTTGTCTTGACTACATGAGTCTTGATTTCATCTAAAAACCAACCACTTGAACAAAACATTATGATAGATACAATAAAAGCCAAAGTAACTACCATTTATCAGTTGCTAACACTTGATTTGGTTATAGTCCTACTACTCTTAGAATTCAATTAGTATTAAATATTGTATCCACATGGCATTGTTAGTCAGGGGCTTGTGCTAGATTGTTGACACTCTGTTATCTTTAAAACAACAAAAGAAAACAAAGAGTGTTATGAATGTATGTAAGGTTTTTTTTAGGGAATGTATAAATTGCTATAGGTATTTACCTTGGCTGTACAAGAATTGTCCAAGAAATTCTTGTTTGAAAAATCAGAATTTTTGAAGTCTTATTGTAAATAAACTTCAATTTACTGTAAATGCCAATAAATTATGACTAAATTTAAAGGATTTTGGCAAGTGATCATGTCTTAAAAAGACAGCATAAGACATATATTAAATATGTTAGGTGAATCAAGATCATAGACCAGTCAGATTTAGTAGAGAAGTGGTGAGTGAAGTATAAAAACTTAGTGGGAGCTACCCTTAAACATAGTAGTGGAGATCAGGGTTAGGTTACTTGAGAAATTTAGCAAAGACCCCTAGGTAGGGGGCACAGCTTCAAGCACCACTTACTCGCTCTGCAAACTCTATTCCTTCTAATGGCTACTATGAACTAATGACACTATGAATGTGACCATAAGATAAATCCTCCTCTGGATGTCTTGTTAGAGGTACATGTTTTCTTATTTAAGACTTTCATAGACATATATACAGAAAAGTGTACAAATAAGTATTTGGCTTAATGAATTTTCAGTGTTTCAGGTATACAGGAAACATGACCATGTAAACCTCTAGGCAAATTAAGAAACACTGCCACCACCTTAGTGTTTTTCATAATTAATATCAGAAGTAAACGGTCACTTCTGCCTTCTGTAAGTAACACAGACCAACCGTGGTACAACGTAGGAAGGCAGTGCATAAGGATGTGAATGCCAGGAGTGAATGCCATCTTGGAGCCTGGCTACTGCAGTCATGCATTGATCGTTTTCAAATATTACTGGTTCACTTATGCAGCCTGCACAAATATTGACGTATTTAAGCAAACAATGTAAATAAAAGTCACAACTAATAATGACTGATATCACAAAATTCTGGAGATACTGGGAAGCTGCCAAGATCATTATGGTGAATACCATTTTTCCAAAATCATAGTTTTTTGCCTAAAGTCTTGAATTTTGTCATTGGCAACAAACTCAATTTTTTTTTTCTCTTTCCTCCCTCCCTCCTTCTCTCTCTTTTTTCCTTTCCTCTTCCCCTTTCCCTTTCCTTGTTTTTCTTGAAGTTACGGATTCCCTTCGTTCATTTTTCAAGAAAGGTTTGTCAAATACCCAAGTACTCATCTTAGTAAAATTTGTGTTCCAGGACAAAAAGTAGTTAATAATGCCATCTCACAATAGCTCTTCTTTGATACATCATACTTGCAATAGGCAGCAGAAGTACTTTATGAGGACTTCCAAGTTTTTACAAAGAATATTAAGTGTCAGGGTGGTTATAATAAAGTTAACTTATTATAAAGTAATAAAGTAACTATTATGCTGGAGACAGCATTTTTCTTTTTTTTTTTTTTTTGAGACCGGGCCTCACTCTGTCGTCCAGGCGGGAGTGCAGTGGCGTGACCTCGGCTCACTGCAGCCTCGACCTCCAAGGCTCAAGGGATCCTCCCAAGCCAGCCTCTGAGTAGTTGGGATTCCGGTGCGCGCCGCCAGGCCTGGCTAATTTTTGTATTTTTGGTAGAGACAGGGTTTCGCCATGTTGGCCAGGCTAGTCTCGAACTCCTGACCTCCCAAAGTGCTAAGATGACAGGCGTGAACCACCGCGCCCGGCCCATTTTTCCTCCTGTGAGCGCGTGGTGGTGAAGAAGAGCTCCCGGTACGGTTTGGTGTCATTACTGTAATTCCTGCGGAGGCGCCAGCACCTTGACCTGCCGTTGCTTTTCCACCATCAGTGCAAACGTCAGCATTGTGCAAAGGGCAAATCACGTCTTCATATTAGTATGAAAATAATTTTGGCTTTGAAAGAGTGTCGGTGACCCTCAGGACAATGTTGGTCGACATCAATGGTTCTCAATGGGGCAGGGTGGGAGGGGTGGTTTTTCTTCCAGGGGAAATTTCACTGTCTGGGGAAACCATTGGCTGTCACAACTGACCAGTGGTGGCATCCCGTGGAGAGACCAGAGATGCTGCTAAGTACCCTACAATGCACAGGACACCCCGTCCCCCAACAAAGCATTATCCAGTTTGAAATGTTAATGGCGCTGAGGCTGAGAAAGCATGACTTCCAAAAACGAGTGTATAAATTAACAATCTTGATTACCTTTGTTACATGTGCTCGTTTATTTTCTTTTCTTTTTTTTTTTTTTTTTTTTTTTGAGACGGAGTCTCGCTCTGTCGCCCAGGCTGGAGTGCAGTGGCCGGATCTCAGCTCACTGCAAGCTCTGCCTCCCGGTTTTTACGCCATTCTCCTGCCTCAGCCTCCGAGTAGCCGGGACTACAGGCGCCGCCACCTCGCCCGGCTAGGTTTTGTATTTTTAGTAGAGACGGGGTTTCACCGTGTTAGCCAGGATGGTCTCGAACTCCTGACCTCGTGATCCGCCCGTCTCGGCCTCCCAAAGTGCTGGGATTACAGGCTTGAGCCACCGCGCCCGGCCGTGCTCGTTTATTTTCAAGACATGACGCACAGCTACGTTCAGGCCGTAATACTGCCTTCCGAGTCCAACTCATTGTAACTTTCACGTGAAGGCTGCAGTTCAGCCTGGAGCCTCCCTGACCAGCTTCCCCGCCCCGCCGCCTCGAGCCCTTTATAACCGAGTTTTGCCTCGCTGTTCTCTGCGTCTGGCCGATCTCATCAGCTAGGCTATTAGGCAGGAGCATATCCTAATCCTTTGAATCACGTAAAATCGTTTTCCCCTCACCTTATTCCCCACTGACTGGACGCGACGCTGCGCGGTACAGCTGGGGCGGCTCCTCCTGGTGCGCTCCTCACCCCGCGCAGCCTCATTTTCCCGCGCTCCTGCGCTGCGGTCATTCGGTGCTGCTGTTAGAGGGCGCGCCCAGCCGCGTGGCCCTGATTACTACAAATCCCAGAAGGTCATGCGGTGGGGGCGGCCGCGGTGACTTCTGGGATTTGTGGTCTCGGAGAAGGGATTGGCGGAGGAGAAAGACAGAGTCGTCTTTCCTTTGCCTGCTTCTGTGGACTGTTCGAACGCCCCGGGGTGGGCCAAACCCGTTTCTTAGGAAACCAGGGATCCAGGGCAGGCAGGTAGGAATTTGGGCGTGATAATTTCTGCTTCCAGTGGGCCAGAATGTAAACACGGGGCCTTGGGAGGTGTTATCAGGTAACTGGGGTTGCCCGGTCGGCGGTGGAAGCTGAAGAAGAGGAGGAAAACGAGGCGAGTGGGTGCTGTGATTAGGGCAGAAAGGACCTTCGGAGTAGGAGTAGAAACCCGACGGGATCCGGTAGAGCCTGTTCGCTAGGGTTGGTCTCCAGGGACAAGCGAGTCTAGGGGTCGGGCCCGCAGTGGCACCTTCGCCAGGCTGCGCGGCCGCAACGTTCCCTGCGCGGTGGGAGGGGCGGGTCGAGCCGGCCGCTCCCCGCTGGAGAGGTGTCTGCGGCCCGGGGCGGTCCGTGCACGCGCAGGTGACGTCCGGGGCAGCCTTTCTGAGCATTTTTATTATTGTTGACCAATGAAGGGAAAGTCGCTAATACTGGTTTTTCTCTTGCGGTGGCGTTTTTTGGTAAATCGTTTCTTGGATTCCTCACCTCTGAATACCTCCTTCTACCCAGAAGGATGCTGTTGTGATTTCCTGATCTTGTTCATGTAGTGGTTTTTCCCTTTGGGTGCTGCATCCTCAGACAGTCAAGACAAGCCCTCTCTGGCAGCTGGGTGAATGTCAAGCCGTCAACAGTTATTGAGCGCCTACTATAGGGATCATTGTAACAGTACAGGAATTTAGAATACAGCGTCGTTGTTTAGAGTTGTTATGCCATTCCTGAAATATAATGCTGTATAAAAGGTTGAATTTGTCTGGTTTCATGAGTTTAACATGAACATGAAACCGGTGTGATTGTGGTTTACCCACATGGTTTCTTATTCTGGTAAAAAAATGTTAAGTCTAGGATGTTGGCACCTCGGGCTTCTAACTAGACTTAGGAAACCCTCCTTCATAAGAAGTTTTCATTTCATGTTCAGATAGTCACAGAGGAACAATAAACTCGTACGGCTTAAGATATCTGAAACAACTGGGAGTGTTAAATTTTCCAATGCAGAAAGTGCTTTGCATGTTCTAGGATTCACACACCTTTTTAAGCCTGGCTAAGTTTACTTCAAAGCTTAAGTCCTCCAGAAAGCCTCAAGTGTCCCTTCTCTGATGTCATGGCATCCTTTGTTTACTCTCTTGTAGCGCTTACCGTGTATTGAAATTGACTGTACTCTGTGGTTTCCAAACACTTTTGAAGAAAATATAAAACTTCGCTAATGGCCTTGATAACAGATTCATGCTTTTACACCGTAGTGGGCCCTTGATACTACGGTTTGGTATCTCTATTTATCCTTTGTTGCTTTTCCTTATCTCCGCAGTAACTATTTTAGATCTTTTCCGTTTTTCTCAAGAACTCAGATATGTTATTTTCCTTTTACTTTGAGCAGATGACTAGCCGCTGTTTGCTGGAGAAATGTGAAGCTTAGGGCATGAAATTCCTCATTTTCCTTTCCCTCCATCCCTGAACTTGCCTGTATGTTTCACTCAATATTAACTCTTCTTTTTGTCTGAGAGGAATGTATTTTTGTCTCCCTCTTTCAGGTTAAACTTGTCGATTGCTAGTGGCATCAGGCCTCCCACACCCTCATTACCTGATTCTGTCCTGGCCTCTGCAGCCTCTGATCTCTAGAAGGTCTCAAGGGATCTGTGGAGGAGAATGACTCAAACGCCTGAGGCAACAGTGTGCATGGCTTTTTCACATATGGTTGAGAACCACCACCTTGGGCCTTAACCTGTGCTTGTCCCCAGCATTTGTAACAGTGGTTTGGGTTGGAAGATGGGGAGGGTAATCGGAGTCTGAATGACCTATGAATTTAAAAAAATCTGTAGGTCTGTATCTCACTTTTTCCTTTCCTTCCGACCCTATCACAGCCCCTCATATAATCTACAGATCTGATCAATGATTTTTTTTTTCCTTTGATCAATGATTTTTATTGTAATTTGCCTCCAGTAAACACACTAGGTTTCCTTTAGTATTAGTAGGGTTCCCACAGTGCCTGGTGCCTCACATTATGAATAAAGAAAGTTTCATTTGGAAACTTGAAACCGGAAAACGTGGTCATCATTCTTGTTACCATTAGGGATAATCATAAATACAAGACTTTTTTTTTAATCTTGTCTTACACTGATATCTTGTGAGTCTTTCCTAATGATCTGTATTTTCTCAGGTTGTCCTCACTGTGTGCCTTTCAACTTCTGTTCCATAATATCCACACTTCCCGTTTTCAGCCATCTTCCCCTGTGATACTTATAATCATCTTCAAACATGGGAAACTCATTCTCCTATATTATGATCAGTCTGGGGAGAGAGTTCACATTGTCCTTATTCCCCAGCATAATTTATAATCCATTAGTCCTCCAGGTTTAAAAAAAAAATCTCAGTTCCTGTGGAAAGCTTGTGGTTCACCTATATCAGCCTGTATATTTCTTTATTTCTTTTTTTTTTTTTGAAATGGAGTTTTGCTCGTGTTGCCCAGGCTGGCGTGCAATGGCACAATCTTGGCTCACTGCAACTTCTACCTCCCAAGTTCAAGTGATTCTCCTGCCTCAGCCTCCCAAGTAGCTGGGATTACAGGCATGCACCACCATGCCCAGCTACTTTTTGTATTTTAGTAGAGACGGGGTTTTACCATGTTAGCCAGGCTTGTCTTGAACTCCTGACCTCAGGTGATCCACCCGCCTCTGCCTCCCAAAGTGCTGGAATTACAGGCGTGAGCCACCGTGCCCAGCCAAGCCTGTATATTTCTTGATTGCTGTGATTTATTGGCTCTCTCATATTCATTAAGAACTCAGACATATGACTCACAATTTTCCTACCCCTCCAAATTCTGCCATTATCGTAGGTTTTTCCATGTGAATGACCTCACAGCCACCCTCACTTTTTTTCTCACCTTCCTTCTAGTGATTACAGGGATCATTTTATTGTGCTTCACTTTATCGCACTTCATAGAGACTGAGTTTTTGCACATTGCAACTGTCCAGTAACCCTGTGTCGAGCAAGTCTTTTCGTGCTATTTGTCCAATAGCATGTGTGCACTTAGTGTCTCCGTGTTACGTTTTGGTAATTCTTGAAATATTTCAGACTTTTTAATTATTACTGTATCTGTTATGGTGATCTGTAATCGACGATCTTTGGTGTTAACAGTCGTAATCATTTTGGGCTGCCATGAACCATGCCCATATGAGATGGTGAACTTAATAAATGTGTGTTTTAAATGCTGTACCACCAACTGGCTATTCCCATCTCTCTTCTTCTCCTTGCGTCTCCCTGTTTCGTGAGACACAACAATATTGAAATTAGGCCAGTTAATCCTACAATGCCCTCTAAGTGTTCAAGTGAAAGGAAGAGTTACACATCTCTCATTTTAAATCAAAAGCTAGAAATGATTTTAGGAAGACATGTTGAAAGCCAATGCAGGATGAAAGCTAGGCCTGTTGCACCAAACAGCCAAGTGGTGAATGCAAAGGACAAGTTATTCAATGAAATTGAAAGTGCTACTTCAGTAAACACACAAATGATAAGAAAGCAAAAACAGCTTTATTGCTAATATGGAGAAGCTCTGAGTGGTCTAGATAGATCAGACCAGCCACAGTATTCCCTTAAGCAGGAGCCTAATTTAGAGGAAGTTTCTAACTCTTTTCAATTCTGTGAATGCTGAGGGAGGTGAAGAAGCTGCCAGAGTAAAGTTTGAAACTACTAGAGGTTCGTTTATGAGGTTTAAGAAGCCATTTTCATAACATGAAATTGCAGAGTAAAGCAGCACATGCTGATGTTATCCAGAAAAGATCTAGCTAAGATAATTGATGAAGTTGGCTACATTAAATGAGATTTTCTTTTTTTTCTTTTTTCTTTTGAGACAGAGTCTTGCTCTGTTGCCCAGGCTGGAGTGCAATGGCCATGATCTTGACTCACTGCAACCTCCACCTCCTGGGTTCAGGCAATTCTCCTGCCTTAGCCTCCCCGGTAGCTGGGGCTACAGGCATGTGCCACCCACGCCCAGCTAATTTTTGTATTTTTAGTAGAGACAGGGCTACACCATGTTGGCCAGGATGATCTTGATCTCTTCACCTTGTGAACCTCCCACCTTGGCCCCCAAAGTGCTGAGATTACAGGTGTGAGCCACTGCGCCCGGCCACAAGATTTCCAGTGTAGATGACACAGCTTTCTATTGGAAGAAGATACTCTCCAGGGCTTTCATAGCTGCAGAGAAGTCAATGTTTGGCTTTAAAGCATCAGAAGACAGGCTGACTCCTTAAATTGAAGTCAATGTCTATTTACCATTCTCAAAATCCTATGGTCCTTGAGAATTATGCTAAATGTACTTTGCCTATGTTCTATAAATGGAACAACAAAGCCTGGGTGATGGCACATCTGTTTACAGCATGGTTTACTGAATATTTTAAGCCCACTGTTGAGACCTGCTCGTGAAGAAAAGATTCCTTTCAAAATATTACTCATTGACAGTGCACCCTGTCATCTAAGAGTTCTAATGGAGATGTACAAGATGAATGTTGTTTTCATGCCTGTTAACACAGCATCTTTTCTGCAGCCCATGGATCAAGGAGTAATTTTCATTTTCAAGTGTTACTATTTAAGAAATACATTTTGTAAGGCTGTAGCTGCCATAGATAGTGATTCTTCTGCTTCATTTGGGCAAAGTCAATTGAAAACTTTCTGGAAAGGATTCTAATTCTAGATAACCATTAATAATATTTGTGATTCATGGGAGGTGGTCAAAATATCAACATCAACAGGAATTTGGAAGAAGTTGATTACAACCTTCATGGATAACTTTTGGGGGTTCAAGACTTCAGTGCAGGAAATAACTGCAGATGTGGTAGAAATAGTAAGAGAACTCAAATTAGAAGTGGAGCCTGAAGATGTGACTGAATTCCTGCA